GTGTGGTGTGGGCTTTTGAAACCTCAGAGCCCACCCTCAGTGGTGTACCTCCTCCAACTGGCCACGCCTCCTGTCCTTCAGAAACAGTTCCATCAGTTGGTGACCAAGTGTTGTTAAAATGTCTAGGTTTACCCAGTAACGAGACACAAACCGTGACTCAATGATCCCATGTGGAGTCTTATTGGTGGACAGGGAAGGAAAGGGGGTGAGAGGTAACCAGCCCGTGCAGAGCTGAGAGAGAGAGAGAGAGAGAGAGAGAGAGAGAGACACAGACAGAGAGAGAGATACAGAGAGAGATACAGAGAGAGAGAGAGAGAGAGAGACAGACAGAGAGAGAGACAGACAGAGAGAGAGAGAGAGGGAGAGAGAGAGAGAGAGAGAGAGAGGGAGAGAGGGAGAGAGAGAGAGAGAGAGGGAGACGAGAGAGAGACGAGAGAGAGGGAGGGAGGGAGAGGGAGAGGCAGAGAGAGAGGAGATGGGAATGGGAGAGGAAGAGAGAGGAGGAGAGCGTAAGCGGGCAGGGGTCAGGCCTTTAAAGGGTCCTTTGCACCTGCGTGGATCTCACGGAAACCTGAACTGGCCAGAGCGCTGCCCGAGTGCATCCTGCCAGGTAACAGGGTGGGCCAGCGTAATGCCTGGACCTCTCACCAAGCACTCAAATATATGAGCCTCTGGGGGCTGTTCTCCTCCAGATCATCACTTTTATTCACACTTTTTTGTTTATTTACTGACGTGGACGGTGTTTGCCTGTGCACCACTTGCATGCTTGGTGCCTTCAGAGGCCAGAAAAGGGGACTGGACCCCCTGGAACTGGAGTCACACTGTGAACCTCTATGTGGGGGCTGCGAATCAAACCCCAGGCCTCTGCGAGAGCAGCCGGTGATCTAGCCCTTGCTTTGCATTTCTGAGACCTTGCTATCGTAGCCCAGGCTGGCCCCAAACACTCCTTCTGCCTCATCCTCCTGAGGCTTCCACCACCAAACCCTGCGAAGGGTGGGCTTTTGGGGGTTGGGGGGTGAATGCATTTATCTCTATTTGTGTCTGCATGCGTTCATGCATATCACATGCATGCAGGTGCACATGGAACCAAAAGGGGCTTTGGATCCCCTGGAACTGGGCTTATGGATGGCTGTGAACCGCTGTCTGGGTGCTGGGACTGAACCCGGGTCCTCTGTAGAGCAGCTAGTGCTCCTAACCACTGAGCCATCTCTCCAGCCCCAATGATACCTTCTTAATAACTAAAAAATAACTCACAGTAGTTGGGCATGGAGGCCCACATCTGTGACCCCAGGACTCAGGAGATTACTGTGAGTTTGGGCCCAACTGGGCTATACAGAACCCTATCTTAACCACCCACAAAAGTATTTTATGAGCCAGGCAGCGGTGGTGCATACCTTTAATCCCAGCACTTGGGAGGCAGAGGCAGGAGGATTTTGTGAGTTCTAGGCTAAGTCTTCAGAGTGAGTTCAAGAACATCAAGGGTTACACAGAGAAACCTTGTGTTGAAAAACCAAAAAAAAAAAAAAAAAAGGGAAAAAGGTGGACTTTTTTTAGTTTTGTTTGGTTTTGGGTTTGGTTTTTCGAGACCGGGTTTCTCTGTGGCTTTGGAGGCTGTCCTGGAACTAGCTTTTGTAGACTAGGCTGGTCTTGAACTCACAGAAATTTGTCTGCCTCTGCCTCCCGAGTGCTGGGATTAAAGGCGTTGTGCCACCACTGCCCAGCAGAAAAAAAGTTTTTTTAATGTAGCCTAATATATCAAAATTGCATGTCCAATATTAACAATTACTTCACTCAACATGTTTAGTCTGTGCTAAGTGTATTTTACACTCAGAACACCTATGTTGGACCATTACAGGTGCGTGTCGGGTACCATACTGGAGGTGCATGGTGGTTATGTGAGACCCCTGAGCCCTCCCGGGGCAGGGCCTGGGCCACAGCAAAGCCTTGTGTGCAGCTGGCTCTCGGTAGATGCCGTGTGAGTGAGCAGACCACTTCCTGACAACTGCTGACAGGAACCAGAGCCACTCCCTGCAGCCTCAGGCTGAGTCAGAGCTCACCCTGGAGCTCACAGCCCCACAGCAGAGCCCGGCCGGACTCGAGGAGCAGTAGTGAGGGCAGGCGATGGGGGGGCAGATGGGTACACTGGCCTCAGGGATGCTAAGACCTGGAGGATGGGGAGCTCAGAGACATTTAGTGCCGCCTGGGGCTGTATTGGGAGGGTGGCTGAGCCACCCTGTGGCCACCGTGGAAGGAGGACACTCAGGATTCGGGATCTGGCATCTGTGTGGATAAAACGTGGCCTTTTGGCCGGGCGGTGGTGGCGCACTCCTTTAATCCCAGCACTCGGGAGGCAGAGACAGGCAGATCTCTGTGAGTTCGAGGCCAGGCTGGACCGACAGCCTCCAAAACAATACAGAGAAACCCTGTCTCGTAAAACAAAACAAACAACAAACAAAAAAAAGTGGCCTTCTGGCGTCTTGCCCAAGCACAGCCACGCCCACTACCTGAGGTATCTGTGCACATGTGCAGAAGAATAGTAGCATTGCCCCTGGATGTCCTCAAGTCACCAGGGCGCCAGGGCTGGCAACTGGCAGGGGGAGGCCAGAGACATGCAGGATGCTGGCCTGCAGGCCCAGGATTGTCCCCAAGGCGACGTGAGGCTCATCTGCAGCCCTGGGCGTGCGCAATGACACATGGTCAGTGACTGAAGGAAGCAAGTGGAGATGGGGTGGGTGGGGGGTGCTCCTGGGGAGCACTTAAGAAAGAGCCGGGTGTTCTGGGAGGAGGAAATAAGGGTGCTACAGGCAGAGGGAGGGTAAAGAGGGGTGTCACCAGCCACCGGTGCCCCAGCTGGAAAGAAGACTCTGGAGGATCTGTGGAGACCGGGCCGGAGGACTGGCATGATGAGAGCCGGTGCAGCGAGCAGGGCTTTTGTCTGTCATCGCTGTGGGAGGGGAGGAGCCTTCTTCTCTCAAGCTACGGAAGCTGAAGTATGGTCAGTGCAACTTTAGGGAGCGGGTGGGACATGATCCGCAGTATTCAGGTAGGAACTGCCACCAGGAGGGACAGGGAGGAAAAAATCAGCAAGAGGAGACCTGGGAAACCAAATGACTGAGGTAAAGGAACAGTTAAGAAACCTGTATGGTACCAGGCGTTGGTGGTGCACGCCTTTAATCCCAGCACTCGGGAGGCAGAGGCAGGAGGATCTCTGTGAGTTCGAGACCAGCCTGGACTACCAAGCGAGTTCCAGGACAGCCTCCAAAGCCACAGAGAAACCCTGTCTCGAAAAACCAAAAAAACAAAAAACAAAAAAACCTGTATGGTAACAAAAAAAAAAAAAAAGAAGAAGAAGAAAGAAACCTGTGTGGCAGCCAGGCAGTGGTGGTGCGAGCCGTTAGTCACTAACTTGGCAGGCAGAGCCAGGTGGCTCTCTGTGCCAGCCTGGCCTACGGAGCGAGTTCCAGGAGAGCCAGGACTGTTACAGAGAGAAACCCTATCTCTGAAAAAAAGAAAGAAAGGAAGGAAAAGAAAGAAAAATAACCTATCTGGCTCAGAGGTTAAGAGCGCTGGCTGCTCTTCCAGAGGACCTGGGTTCAATTCCCAACAACCACATGGTGGCTCCCAACGGTCTGTAACTGTATACCAGGGGTTCCAACACCCTCTCCTGGCCTCTGCAGGCACCAGGCGAACAAGGGTTACACAGACACACATGCAGGCAAAACACATGAAATAAAAAGTGGATCTTCAAACGAGCGAAACCAACAAAGGCGTGCTTCCAGGCTGGAGACGCGACAAGGCTGGCAGAGTACCTGCCTAGCTTGCACCAGGCTCTGGGTTCCAGCCCCATGACCACATCCATCCAGCGTGGCGCAGCGTAGCTGTAATCCCAGCATTTGGGTGGAGGAGGCAGGAACAGCAGGAAGTTCCATGTCATCTTTTGCTACATAGCAAGTTCGAGGTCAGCCTGAGCTACATGAAACCCTGTCTCAAAAGATTAAACCACAACATTAGAAAAAAGAAGAGAGACATATGGGGGTATACCTTTAACCCCAGCAGTGAGCAAGCAGAGGACAGAAGCAGGCAGAGTTTGAGGCCAGCCTGATCTGCAAAGCAAGTTCCAGCCAGAGCTATATAATGTTTCAGCCTGTCTCAAAACAAACAAACAAACAAGTCACCGGAAGATTCCAGCGCAGGTGCTGACATGACTGGTGTCACGTAGGGGCCAGGAAAGGGAAGCTGGAGGGTTCCCATGGGGCCACCTCATGGAGCCATCCTGGCGGTAGTTTTTGGAAGAGGAAACTCGTTGTTCTGAGGGCTTTTTTTTTTTTTTTTTTTTTTTTTGCTGCACCTAGGTGCGCTGAGGGTCCTGTGTCTGTAAGTGGTATATGTCCTGGATTTTAGGAGACAAGGCTTATGTGACAAAAAAAAAAACTCTTCCCCTCCTCCGTGCACTTACTACCCTGGCTGGCCTCCCTGAAGCTGACCACAAGTGTCCATGGCCCCTCTGGCCTGATTGGGGAACATTTCTTAGTCCACAGCGTCCCAGCTAAACCTATTCATAGCCCAATACACTGTTCTAACTTGGTTACAGAGGCACATGTGAGGGTTATCTGTGACCTCCCCTCCTTGTATGTTACTAGTAAAATTTCATTAAAAAAAAAGAAAGGGCCGGGTGGTGGTGGCGCACGCCTTTAATCCCAGCGCTCGGGAGGCAGAGGCAGGCGGATCTCTGTGAGTTCGAGGCCAGGCTGGACCGACATCCTCCAAAACAATACAGAGAAACCCTGTCTTGTAAAAAAAAAACCAAAAAAAGAAAGAAAGAAAGGAAGGAAGGAAGGAAGGAAGGAAGAAAGAAAGAAAGAAAGAAAGAAAGAAAGAAAGAAAGAAAGAAAGAAAGAAAGAAAGAAAGAAAGAGGTTCCCCAATTGGCTGCCTGGAAACATAATTCTAGAAGGGTATCCCCTTAAGGCACATCACTGCCACCTGCTGGAAGAGAGTAGCATGACCATCAACCACACCAGGATGTATTGTGCATGGAGAACCTTATGGGTCAGACTTGAGCGCCCCTTCCTCCTGGAAGGAACATGGCGTGAAGGTGGTGCTCTGTCTCTCTTTTACTGCCTCCCTGGTTCCAGGTCTCCATTTGGGGAAAAGGCCACGGGCTTTCAAGTCTGACGGAATACACCAGTTCCTGCCTGAGGCTCTGACCACTGGCCACTAGCCACTGGTCCCCATCGGTGTCACTATTTAGATAGCTAAGGAAGTGTTAGGAAGCCTTACTGGAAGAAGTGTGTCACCGGGGACCAGCGCTGAGGTGTCACAGCCATGTAGCATTCCCAGTTTGCTCTCTGCTTGCGCTTGAAGCTTAAGCTGAGCTGTTCCTACTCCAGCCCTCAAGCCTTCAGTCAGCCTCCATGGACTCCATAAGCCCAAATCAACTCTCTTATACAGGCTGCCTTAGTCATGGTGTCTAATCACAGCAACACAAAAGTAACTGATACAATACCCGTTCATTGAATGCTTGCCCAGCAGGCACAAGGCCCTCGGTTTGCTCCCCATGGGAGTGGAGTATGGGTACACACCTGTAATCCCAGTAATTGGGAGACGGAGGCAGGAGGCTTAGGAGTTACTGAGTGTCCTCAGTGACACACCAAGTTGGCAGGCAGCCTGGGCTACATGAGAACGTTTTTTTTTAATATCCATGTATCCATGATAGCCAGGCGTTGGTGGCACACACTTTTAATCACAGCACTTGGGAGGCAGAGGCAGGCGGATCTCTGTGAGTTCGAGACCAGCCTGGACTACCAAGCGAGTTCCAGGACAACCTCCAAAGCCACAGAGAAACCCTGTCTCGAAAAACCAAAAAAAAAAAAAAAAAAAAAAAAAAAGAAACAACAACAACAACAAAAAAAACATGAAATATAATGTATTGCAAGAGCAATGCAGATGATCGCAAACCCTAACATGACACTGTTGGGCTGGGTTCAGCCTGCCCAACCTCACCTCTGAGTCTGTCCCCAAGGCTGCTGTCTGTGATCAAAACCAAAGGCTTCTGAACGTTCTTTTTTTAAAATCTACTTTATGGTGTTGGGGCCAGCATCATTCCTAGAAACCACCAACCTAGAGAAAGATGTGCTCTTCCCAGACTGTGCCCCGGCCTTGGGCCTGTGTGTGTGTGTGTGGGGGGGGGACCTTGGCCTTCTGCAGCCAGAGAGCAAGGGGAAGGGGAGGGACCTGCTGGGTGGGAAATCTTAGTGCGGGGTGATACTCACTTTGGGGCTTTGGTGACAAACCCTCCACCTCCACCCCTGTGAGCTCCATTTTCCCATCTGGGGGTCACGGGTTTTGAGATGGGGAGAGTCCCACCGAGAGGGAGGGTTCTCACTTGCTCTACAGGTTCGTGCCTTGTTTTTTTTAATTTTACTGTTTCGTAGAAGGGTTTTGGAAGGAAACCAGTAAGATATACCTGAGCTATCCCAGTGCTATGTGAAGACTGTTGTTTACTTCTGGCCCTGCCTGTCCTCAGGGGCCGTCTGTTGTGCTTGGCCTCTGGAAGACTTCCCTGCACACTCCTCAGAGAATGGGGATGTACCGTCATGGAGCTCTCTAAACCGGGAATTTCCAGGGTCCTGGAACCAGGCTTAGAATGCGGTCCTGCGCCTGCCCAGCTGGTTCAAATGCAGAACCTCAGGGAATGGGGCGTAGCTGAGGCTTGGGGGTGTGGCAAGTTCTTGGGCTCCCATGGCCCTGGCTGTACTTCTCAGGGTCCATATCCCCACAGCTCCTCGTTGGAACACCAGAAATCTGCTCCCGTCTCCTTACCAGAGAGAGAAGGTTCCTGTATCAAAGTGGCTCCTCAAACTCATTTCCTTGAAATAAATATAGATAGATAGTTGGGGCTCAAAATGAAAATCAGTTCAAAATACTACCATGGCTTCCCGTGATACTCGGAGCAGAAAGCCAATGTTCTCTGTGTGACCCCAAGCCTGGTGACCTCTCTGATCCCCTCTCCAGCCACCCTGCAGTCCCAAGGCCATTGCACTGTTTCTTCCGTGCCTGCAGAGACCTCTCTACAGGCTCACCGACCCCCATCTTTATCGGGTTCATTAGAAGATATCTCGCTTTATTATCACAAAGTATTTGGTAATTTGCGGCTGGAGAGATGGCTCACCAGTTAAGAGCCCATATTGCTCTCTTACAAGAGGACCCGGGCCCGGAAGTCCAGATCCAGGGAATCAAAGTCCTTCTGGCTTCTGAGGGCACATACAAACCAAATAAACATGCACACACCTCCCCTCTACACATGATTAAAAATAAAACTTAAAAAGGGACAGGAGCTGGAGAGAGAACTCAGCGGTTAAGAGTGTTCTCATAGAGGACTGCGGTTTGTTTGCCAGCACACGCGTGCAGTCAACAGCGCGTCACTCAGGCTCCAAAGAGTCTGATTTTCTCTTCTGACCTCCGAGGGCTGCTGCACCCCCATGTACACAAGCACACGCATGCACAGAAAGAAGGAAACTGGAAATGGGACTGGAGAGATGGCTCTTGCAGAGGACCAGGTTTCATTCATCCCCAGCACCCACAGCCACCTGTAACTCCAGTCCCCAGGGCTCCGCCCCCTCGGTGGGCTCCTCTTACTATCCCGTCTGTGTAGCAGGCGGTTCGCCGTTTCCTGACGCCATCGCCCCGCCCCTTGGCCCCGCCCCTTCTCCACCAACCGGGGATGCTTTGCTGGCCACGCCCCTTCCGGCGCCTCCCCAAGCGCCAGGCCCCGCCCTCCCAGGGTCTTCCCGGGAGCGCGGGAACATCCGCTAGCGCTCAGCTCTCGGCCCTCGTGCGTTCCAGCCGTCGCCCCGCGTCGCCTCGCGCTGGAGCGGTCGGTGTCGGACACCGTGGCCCCGGCCGGGGCGGAGCCCTGGGCGACCCTGGAAGCCCCCGCCCGCCTCCTGTTGCAGGCACTGCAGGCGGGGCCCGAGGGCGCGGGGCGCGGGCTGGGGGTTCTGCGTGCGCTGGGCCGCCGCGCGGAGCACTTCCCTTGGGGCGGCTTCCTCGAGGCGCTGGGCCGCGCTGAGCCCGAGGTGCGGGGCCCCGACGGCCGCCTAGAGCTGTGAGTCCCCGCCCGTGCCCCCCCCCCCGCCTCACACCTGCTTATTTGTGTAGTTGAGTCAGGGTTCCATCTAGCCCAGGCTAGCCTCGAACTCCTGCAGCCGTCTCCTGAGTGCTGGGATTACAGGCGTGCGCCCCGACACTGGGCTGAGACACACCTTGTCAGGAATAATTTTAAGTGCAGGCAAATTGATTTTGTTTGCGTACTTTATCTCTCTTTTTAAAAAGTCAAAGTTAGCCTGGCGTTAGTGGCGCACGCCTTTAATCCCAGCACTTGGGAGGCAGAGGCAGGAGGATCCCTTCAAGTTCAAGGCCGGCCAGGATTACGTAGAAACAACAGAAAAAAAAAACCCTCCGTAGAAACAACAGAAAAAAAAACCCTCCAATACAGGTGTACTTATGTCAAGTTGACACCTGTGTTAAAATACAAGTCATACGATGATTTTAGTATATATATATATATATATATATATGTATATATATATATATATATATATATATATATATGTTATTTAAAACCGATGTGCTAGGTCTTGGAATAGTAAGGCCTGCTGGTGGTCAATTTCTCAAAACAATGTTGACCTTAAGGCAGGCTCACTTCCCTGAGGGTAGTATGGGTAACACCGGCACACACATCCCCCCATTTAAGTGTTCCTGATAAATTCTGAGTGACTGTGAATTGTAACTTCTTTTGGTGACTGGAGCGTGAGTGTCATGCTGCCACTTTCTCTCCCTTTCAGTCGAAATGTCTTTGTCTCGTGTGTGTGTGTGTGTGTGTGTGTGTGTGTGTGTGTGTGTGTGTGTGCGCGCCCGCGCGTGCGTGCGTGTGCGTGCATGTGCATGTTAAGACGTACACACATGGAAGTCAGGAGTTGCTGGAGTCGGTTCCCTTAGACCACAAGTTCGTCTTTCTTTTTCCCTCACTCTGACACTAGCTTTTTCTTTCTGACAGGATCTGTCCCCCACAAATTCAGAAGCATATTTTCTCTCAGTCTCGCATGCCGGGCACCTCTGTGTGATGAGTAAATAGCCCTGACACACAGCAAGGGCTCGGGGCCTGGTCATTTTCCTCTGGTCACACCGGTGCTCTGGGCAGCCGCTTCCTCAGCAGAATTCTAGAATGCATGGGGCCCTGGGGAGCCCTGGAGGACAGGCTGAATGAGACTGCCGGTTGCTTGCAGGAGCTGGCCCCCCGAGGAGCTGTGAGGGGAGGGGTGAGGGCTGTTACCCTGTTCCTTCTCCTCAGCGTCCACTTGCTGTGTGAATCCTGGATTGTAGCACAGCTTTCAGCTGCCTCGTGCGTGTCAGGTGTCCCTCCTCTGTCCCCTTTCTGTCCTCAGCACCTCTCTGGTTGTCTTGTTTTGGAGACAGGGCCCTGCCTGGCCTCAAGCTAATAGAGATCTATCAGCCTCAGTGTCGCAAGTGCTGGGATTTAAGGTGTGTGCCACCATACCTGGCCCCCGCTCCTCAGCGGGCATCACCTCCCAATCCCTGCCACAGTCTGCCCCACCCGGTGTGACACATGCGTGTAACCAGAGCACCCGGGAGCTAAGGCAGGAGGACCGAGAGTCAAGGCCAGTGTGGGTTACATAAGGAGACCCCCAACTCAGAAAACAAAACAAAAGCTCTGATCGTCCGCAGGACCCCACTGTTGCTACGGCTGCCTGGAGTGTGCCGGAAGAACCTGATGTCCCTGCTGATGTCTGTTCGACCCTCGCTACCTGAAAGCGGCCTCCATTCCGTACTGCAGCTTGCCCGGCGAGATACAGCGTCTACGCCTGATGCCTGGCTCCATGCCCTCTGGGAGCTGCTAAGAAGGGATGTGGGGACGGGAGTCTCTGCGGAAGGAGCCTCTCCACTGTCCACCAGCTGTCAGGCACAGCTCCGACACCTGTGTGGGCAGCTGGGCCCGGGGGGTCGGGGGTTGAAATTGACTCTGGCTCTAGACCCTGACCAGGAGGACCAGCACTCCTCACAGCTGTGTGGGAGCCGCAGGAAGGAGCCAGAGGAAGACCCTGCCAGCCCTGAGTCAGAGAGACCCCCTAAGAGGTTCCGGGGTTTGGAGGAGGAGGAGGGTAAGGACCAGGAAGAGAAACCCAAACTGGAGTCGGCACAGTCCCCATCGGACGCAGGAGGCGTGTCACCTGATCCAAAGCAGACTCCTGAGCCTGGCCCGGGTGTGGAGGAGGCCAAGGGTCCGGCTCAGAGTGTGGAGTTGCCCCAAGTTGTCCAGGTACTGTGGCTGGAGGCTGCTTTCAGAATGGTCCTGGAAAATGGTGGAAGCTGTGTGAGACCCTTCTCCCAGCGGGGACCTCCATAGTCCATAGAGCAGGGATGAGGGGTGGGTTGTGGAGGGTGGAAGGAGGGCGCCCTCCCCTCCCCAGACTGATGGCGATGGGGAGGGAGTTACTATGAGCTAGAAGGACCTGGCCCAGTGACCCAGGGTGTGGGGTTGAAGGATCCGGCTGCTGCACCTGCCGGCGTGAGTCATGCCCGCAGCCCGCCTGCCCATACTGGGCCTGTGTGCCCCATTGAGGTTGGATGGAGAAAAGACAGAGCAGTGGGCTGGGTGTCTCACAAGCCTTCTAAGATGGAGGCGCCACATTCCTGCTTCTCCTGCCTTGCCTTTGCCCATCAGTTCCCTGTGCCCCCTCCTTAAAGGTTTTTTAATTTTTTAAAGATGTATTTATTTATTACGTATATAATATTCTACCTGCATGTTTGCCTGCACACCAGAAGAGGGCACCAGATCTCATTATGGATGGTTGTGAGCCACCATGTGGGTGCTGGGAATTGAACTCAGGACCTCTAGAAAAACAGCCAGTGCTCTTAACCTCTGAGCCATCTCTCCAGCCCAAGGTTTTTTTATTGTATGTGTGTGCCTGCACCCGTGTGTGGTGCACATGGGAGCCAGAAGAGGGCGTAGGGTCTCCCTGACCTAGTTACAGGTGATTGTGAGCAGCCCATCGTGGGTGCTGGGGTCTGAGCCCAGTTCCTCTGGGAGGAAGGGAAGTGTCTAACTGTTGAGCCGTTTTCCCAGCTCTTGTTTTCTGCAGAGGGCAGGTCCTGCTGCACTACAGAAATAGTGACTGTTCTCTCCTCCACAGGACCAGGTGCCCCGGCTGCAGCAGCTGCTGAAGGCCTTCCAGGAGGTGACTGGCCCTCCCTGTTCGCCACAGCCTTTCCTCTGGCTTCTCTCTACCCTAGCTGTGCCCAGGGAAGCCCCCATCATGGAGTTTGGTATGGGGCTGAGCAGGAGGGAGATGTGCGGACAGTCCCACAGGGCCAAGTTTGGAAGTGCCATCATCCCCCAGGAAGGCCTTCTCTGGTGGTGCCTTCTAAGAGTGGCCTCTGCGGCCTGTCGCAAGCATTCTGCCACCCTTACTCGGGATTTGCCTCCCCAGGGTCTGGAGGGGATGGAGCCTGAGCCTCCAGTGGACCTGAAGTTTCTCCACGAATGTAGTCCCAGCCAGGTGAGACAGGCCTGGCCCCGAGATCGACCCCCTGTGCCCCTGCCTGCTTCCCCACCTCCCCCGGGGCTCAGGGTTACCCTGGGTTGTTTCTTGGCTCTGCCTGCTCTACCCTGTTCCCTCTCCTGCCCTTTCTGTTGCCCGCGGGGCGTGTGTTCCAGCAGAGCCCGCTGAGTGTCCTGGTTTCCCCCAGATGGAGTTGCTATGCAGCCGGCTCCCTCTGCCCCAGCTCCCTGATGGAGGCCTCCTGCAGCTCTGCAGCTGCCTGCTGAGTCTCGTGCCAGCCCTCAGCATTGGCAGCGCCTGTGTGTTAGCCAGGAGCCTCTTTCTTGACCGGGTGGGTACAGGTGGCGCCAGGAGGCCAGGGGTAGTGGGGACCCTCTGAGTGCTCAGGAAGGGGGTTTTGGGAGGGACTGAGGGGTGGCCCTGGGGTGTATATCCTTACAGCATATATAGAGTGTATATCCTTACAGCATGTATATAGTGTATATCCCTACAGCATATATATATAGTGTATATCCCTACAGCATATATATAGTGTATATCCCTACAGCATATATAGAGTGTATATCCTTACAGCAAATATATAGTGTATATCCTTACAGTATATATGTAGTATATATCCCTGCAGCAAAAATATAGTGTATATCCCTACAGCGTATATATAGTGTATATCCTTACAGCATATATATAGTGTATATCCTTACAGCATATATATAGTGTATATCCTTACAGTATATATGTAGTATATATCCTTACAGCATATATATATATAGTGTATATCCTTACAGTATATATATAGTATATATCCCTACAGCATATATATAGTGTATATCCTTACAGCATATATATAGTGTATATCCCTACAGCATATATATAGTGTATATCCTTACAGCATATATATAGTGTCTATCCCTACAGCATATATATAATGTATATCCCTACAGCATATATATAGTGTATATCCTTACAGCATATATATATAGTGTATATCCCTACAGCATATATATAGTGTATATCCCTACAGCTTGTACATATACATATACACACAACACACATACACACATATATATAGTGTATATCCCTACAGCATATATATAGTGTATATCCCTACAGCATATATATAGTGTATATCCCTACAGCATGTAGCTTCTTCCCACCTGGGCCCCAGATGTGGCTTCTGGGTTTGGGAGCTGGATACATACCCTTGGCTTTTCCTCAGTAGCATGGGTTGCCATCTGAAACATGTGAGATAAGCACTCCCTGAAGGGAAGAAATGACTTTGTCCTCTCCCTGGTGACTACTAGATCCTCTCCCTGCCGTCCTCCGCCTCCAGGCTGCTCAGAGTTGCCCTCAGCTCCTTCTGTGTGAAGTACACCTACCCCGTCTGCAAGGCCATCCTCGTTCCCCTTCTCCAGGACCCAGGCGTGGGTAACTGCAGCCCCAGTCCCAGGCCTACCCTCCTGCCCAGCACACCTCACCCTTCGGGCCCTGCTGAGCTGGGCTCAGTGAGCAAAAGTGGGAGCCTGTTCCCAGACAGCGAGCATTCTGTCCCTCTCAGCCTCCTGCCCTCCTCCAGCCCTGTCTCCTCTCCTGTCCTTGACCCAGGTCCCATGCAGACCGAGGTGCTGTGCTCCCTCATAAAGGATGAGGCCCTGGAGCCAGACATGCAGGTCCTGATTCTGGGGTGAGTGTGCAGACTTTGATGCTCTCTCTCACACACACACACACACACCTACACCCCCCAGGCCAGGCCTTCATGAGGCCTTGGGTTTCATTCCCAGCGCTGCACAGGCACATGCATACACACACATGCACCCACTCATGCACACACAATGGCATAGCACACGCTGCTGCCCCTGGAGTCTAAACTCACCTGGTGCCCTTTCCTCTGGGCCCATGTTGAGTGCCAAGTGGACATCTTCCTCAGTTTTACTGGGGACCTGGCAGAGTACACACAGAAGGCTGGGTCCCTCTCAGAAGGGGCTCAGCTGGGACACATCACCATGGCTAAGAGCATTGACTCCAGAGTCAGACCTGAGTCCTGTCTCCACCTTGTTTATTGACTTAGATGGATGGACTCAAGTTCAAGTATTTATTTAGTTAATTTACTTATTTATTTGGTTTTTCAAGACAGGGTTTCTCTGTGTAGCTTTGGAGCCTGTCCTGGAACTAGCGTGCACCACCACCAGGCATTGTGAATCTTTCTTTTAAAAAAAAAAGAGGAGCCGGGCGTTGGTGGCGCACGCCTTTAATCCCAGCACTCGGGAGGCAGAGGCAGGCGGATCACTGTGAGTTCGAGACCAGCCTGGTCTACCGAGCGAGTTCCAGGACAGCCTCCAAAGCCACAGGGAAACCCTGTCTCGAAAAACCAAAAAAAAAAAAAAAAAAAGAGGGAGGGGGACTGGGATTGGTGTGTAAAATTAAAAAAAAAAAGATGGGTATAAAAAAAAGACTGAGCCGGGCTTTGGTGGCACACGCCTTTAATCCCGGCACTCGGGAGGCAGAGGCAGGCGGATCTCTGTGAGTTCGAGGCCAGCCTGGTCTACAGAGAGTTCCAGGACAAGCTCCAAAGCCACAGAGAAACCCTGTCTCAAAAGACAAAAAGCCTCCTGGAGAGTGGGTGATCAAACCCAGGAAGGTACTGGAGCCTGGGGTCTACAGCTGCCGCACGTGGGCTGCTGCCCACCCTAATGCATGCCCGTTGGTGGAGGACAGCCCTTACTCACTGTGTGTCCTCCCCGCAGGCAGGTCCTGGAGCTAGCCTGGAGGGAGGAGACGTTCCTGGTGTTGCAGGCGCTCCTGGAGCAGCAGGTGAGTGGCCTGCCGCCAGAGGGCTGTGTGGGACCCAGACAGCTGCCTCTCAGTTGTAGGGTCAACTGTGTAGCCCAGGCTATCCTGGAATTTATGATCTTGCCCCAGTCTCCCAAGTACTGGGATTATAGGCCTGAGCCACACCATAGGTGGTTGGTTGTATGTTGCTTTTATCTTTTCTTTTTTGAGATAAGAGCTCTTATAGCTCAAAGTGGCCTTGAACTCCCAATCTTCCTGCCTCCACCTGGAGTCACAGGTGGGCATCACCTTGCCCCATTTTATTTTATTATTTATTTATTTTGTTTGTTTGTTTTTTTCGAGACATGGTTTCTCTGTGGCTTTGGAGGCTGTCCTGGAACTAGCTCTTGTAGACCAGGCGGGTCTCGAACCCACAGAGATCCGCCTGCCTCTGCCTCCCGAGTGCTGGGATTGAAGGCGTACGCCATCACCGTCTGGCAACCTTGCCCTATTTTAAATGATGCCAGGGATTGAACCCAGGACTTCATGCATGCCAGACAAGGGCTTAGTCCATTATCATCATGGCGGGACATGGCAGCAGACATGCAGGCAGATCTGATGCTGGAGAAAGAGCTGGGAGTTCTATATCTTGCGTAGGCAACAGGAAGTGAACTGAGATACTGGGTGTGGCTTGAGCATCTCTGTAGAGACACACTTAGTCCACCAAGGCCATATGTACTCCAACAAAGCCACACATCCTAATAGTGCCATTCCCTATGAGCTTATGGGAGCCAGTTATATTCAAACTACCACACTATGTTTTGAGACAGGGTCTCATGCAGTCCAGCCTGGCCTTGAGCTCTCTATATAGAAAGGTGACCTTGGACTCCTACCCGTCTTGCCCTGAGTCCTCGGATTATTGGTGCACACCATTCCTGACTATTCTCTTTTTTGCATTTTAGGTGATTACTTTTCTTGCTATGGCTTTGACTCACAGTTTAAGGATACAGCCTGTCTCATTGGGAGAGGCTTGGGCAGGGGCCTGGGGACTGTGTCCACATTCAGAAAGCAAAGACACGAATCCTGGGTTCACTCTGCTAGGGGACCTCAGCCCATGGGATAGTGGTGGCTGCTGTGTTCATGGAGGATCTCCAGTGCTGGGAGACACCCTCACAGACACGCCCAGAAGTGTGCGTCCACGGTGATGCTAAGCCCATCAAGTCGGCCCTCACAGTGATTAACCTCGCTGTTTATGCCCAGTCCTCCTTGTGTGAGAGTGGAGACTGTGCGGTGCTTTCTCATTGGACCGCATCCCGCAAATAACGTCACGGAGACTTACTAGTTAAGCAAGCTCGGCCTCAGCTCAGGCTTGTTTCCATCTAGCTCTTAATGACTTAAACTAACCCACGTGGTTACCTCTCCTCCATACTACCCATGCTGCTTCCTCCATGTTGGGGTGGGGACTCTGCCCTTCTTCCTCCAAGAGTTCCCTCTCTGCCCAGAAGTCCTGCCTGTATGCTCCTGACTAGCTATAGACGGTTCAACTTCTTTTTTTTTTTTTTTTTTTTTTTTTTTTTTGGTTTTTCGAGACAGGGTTTCTCTGTGGCTTTGGAGGCTGTCCTGGAACTCACTTGGTAGTCCAGGCTGGTCTCGAACTCACAGAGATCCGCCTGCCTCTGCCTCCCGAGTGCTGGGATGACGGTTCAACTTCTTACTACACCAATCACAACAGTACATCCTCACACAGGGTACAAATATCCCGCAACAGGAGACCACATGAGCTGGGTGGGATTTCTAGACGATGGGTGGGAAGTGCTGAGTGCCATCCAATGCCAGTCGCCATTTCTTTTCTTTCTCTTTGGTTTTTTTTTTTTTTTTTTTTTTTTTTGGTTTTTCAAGACAGGGTTTCTCTGTTTTGTTTTAGAGGCTGTCGGTCCAGCCCAACCTCGAACTCACAGAGATCCGCCTGTCTCTGCCTCCCTAGTGCTGGGATTAAAGGCATGCGTCACCAACGCCCGGCTGAGACAGGGTATTGTTTTGGAGGCTGTCTTGGAACTGGCTCTTGTTGACCAGGCTTGCCTCGAACTCAACAGAGATCCGTCTGCCTCTGCCTCCCGAGTGCTGGGATGAAAGGCGTGCGCCACCACTGCCCAGCTGCTAGTGGTCATTTCTTATTATGAAGAGTTGGCAGTGTTCCTCAGGACCTCACCATGCTCTGTCATTAAGGTTTAAAACTGAGGCAGGCTAGAGTCACTGGCTCCCCCATAGTACTGACCTGAGCCTTCGCAAGGGCAGTTGCATTCTGTGAGACCGTGTCTCTGCTATTTCATTTATCACAGTCTTCGGTGACTTTGAGCCTTTTTGTCCAGTTGTGGGGACTGGGCCTTAACTTGGTGTGTTAGCTTTTCCTTACTGGGATGAAACACCCGAGGTAGGCAGTAGGGGAAAAGGTTGGCTTGGGTTCACAGTTTCCATCCGCGCTTGGCTCCGTTGCTCCTGGGCCTGTATGAGGCCCGTTAGGGTGGACGGAGTGTGTGGTGGGTGGGCTGCTCAAGTCACGGCATCTGCAAAGCAGAGAGAACAGGTCAGACTACCACTGTCCCCTTTAGACAAACCCCAGTGGCCTAGAAGCTCTGCCAACTCCCAGCACCTTCACCCTGGGACAGAGCCTTCAACACATGGGTCTGTGGAGGAATTTCTAGACCCATTTGAGAGCTCTCTGTTCAGCTACCTGCTGGGAGATGGAGAGCCTGGGATTGAACCCAGGGCTGGCCTTATGATGCGTCCCATGTCCCTGTGCATGCAGGTGGAGATGACCCCTGAGGTGTTTAGTGTCTTGGTGCAGAGGCTCTGCAGAGAGGGGCCGGCAGCCACCACCTCCATCGCCTACGCCAAGCTGATGCTGACAGTGATGACCAAGTGCCAGGCCAGTGTGAGTGTCCACGGGCTCATTCGTCGGGCCAGCATCTCTGAGGGTCGTGTATGTGGGGCACCGGGAAGTTAGAACAGCATCATGCTGTCTTCCCCTCGAGCTGACCCCCTCCCTCAGCTGCCATGCTTGTGAGGATCCATGCAGGCATTTGGAGCAGAGGAGGAGGGCAGCTAAGCCTTACTATAGGGGATTGGGACTGGGGGTAGTGAATATGTGGGGCAGGCCGAAGCAGGAGGACTGCTGTAAGTTCAAGGCCAGTCTGGGCTGCATAATGCGACAAATACAAAAACAAAGATGTGCATAGTGGTTCACAGCTTTAGTCCCAGCACTCAGGAGGTACAGGCAGGTGGATCTCTGAGTTTGAGGCCAACCTGGTCTACATAGTGAGTTCCAGAGCAAAGACCCTGTGCCCCCCCAAAAAAATAATTTTTAAAAAGGAGAGGTCTGGAGTGTCGCTCAGTTGGTAGAGGGCCCACCATCCACAAAACCTTTGGGTCAATTCCTAATACTTTGTAGACTGGGCGTGGCAGGTCATATAATCTCAGCACCTGGGAGGTGGAGGTAGGGAGGTCTGAAGTTCAAGGCCAGCCCAAGCTATGTGAGCGTTCACTCCCGTCCCAAAACTAAAAAGCAATGGTGGCTGGAATGGTAGGAGGATGTTCCTGGAAGGGACACTGCCGTGAGCCAAGACTGCCCTACCCAGGGATCTGCAAGTAGCTCATTGCTCGGGCTGCCACTGAGGGAGACAGCCGGCGGCAGCGGCGCTGTACGCCTGTTCTAATCCCAGCACTAAGGAGGCAGACGCAGGTGGGTCTCGGAGTTGGAGGCCAGCCTAGGCTATGTGTGAGAGCCTGTGGTAGCTGAGGCTGTGAACTTGCTAGCCTGTGCTACGCATCAGCTCTCACACACTGTTAGCTCCTTTTTGTTGGTTTTGCTTTTTTTTTTTCCCCGGTTTGAGACAGGGTTTCCCTGTGGCTTTGGAGTCTGTCCTGGAACTCTGCTCTGTAGACCAGGCTGGCCTTGAACTCATAGAGATCCGCCTGCCACCAACGCCCAGCTTGTGATTTGTTTTTAAGATAAGCTCAGGATTTGCTGTGCTCCGAGTGCTAGGATCATAGGGGACACTACTAAGGCCTGGTCTATGTAGTGTTAGGGATGGAACACAGGACTTCCTGCTTCCTGTGCTTTGTACTTCTAGCTAGCCTGAACCCCCTATGTTGACCAGGCTGGCGTCAAACTCACAGAGACCCTCCTACCTCTGCCTCCTGGGCCCCTATGCTGGGCTCAGCCTGCTTTTATATACGGTCTAGGGCCACCTGGCCAGGGGTAGCACTGCCCACGTAGGCTGACCCTTCTGTGTCATCTAGCTAACTACAGAAACCCCCACAGGCTCCCTCTTCACCCATCAGTACCTGGTGACAGCCACGGTCGGCTATCACACAGGCGCATCTGTTGATCCCGTGATCCCAGAAAGTGGGGATCTCAGTCTGTGTGTGCTGTGCGTTTGGGGGTCTCCTTCAGAGACTTCTCTAGATCACAGAGGAAGGGCCTCCCTCCAGAGGAGTAAGGAGCCTGCAGGGACCTTCAGCTAGGGAGGGACTTTGCCTCTGTCTGCTGAGGTATGGGGGTTGGAGAGTGGAGATGAGGAGCCTGAACCCCAAGAGAAGACAGAGAAAGCATCGTCAGAGGGGTGTGGTGGCCTTGGGGGAGTGTCCCTGAACCTGTCTCTCATCTGAAGCCTGGGAGGGTCAGGAGGGCTCCGTGAGATACAGCTGAACAGACCTGCACCAGGGTCTGCTCTGAGCTCTACAGCTGCTACAATCCAGGTCTCCCTGGGGCTCGCCTCATCTCAAGAAGTAGTAAGGTCCTGTCGCTCAGGAGCCCGCCCTTGGCCTCCATTCTCCGTCCTCGGCAGGGCCTGTGGGGTGGCAAGGAGACGGGAGACCGGCTGCTGCAGTCCTAGCCTGACTCCCTCTCCAGATCACAGAGCAGCAGAGCCTGGACCTGGCTGTAGCCCTGGAGCCCAACGCCACCTTCCTGAAGAAGTCCCTGCAGGCAGCGCTGAGACGTCTGGCCCACTGACCACCCACAAAGACGTGACTCCCTGACCCCTTGCCTGGGAACACACTGAGTACAGCCAGCTCAGGAGTCAGCTGCCTCTTGCCCAATACTCCTGGCTGTTCAGAGGCCATCTTGACCTCAGAGAGGAGGTCCTAGGCCACTCTGGCTGCCATTCCTGATCACAGTAAAGGCACCTTGAGGACCAGTGGTCCATGGGCAGTCTACCGGGAGAGCCGGGGTTCCGGTGTACTCGGGGTGACTTGTGCTCAGGGGTTGTGAACCTCCTTTTTTTTGGTTTCTGAACTGAATGATTTTGCAATAGTTTTTAATAAAAAGAAAAAAGTTCATCCAGTCTTGGTGTCTTGGTGGCTCACCCCTGTAATCTCAGCACTGGGGAGGATCGGGAGCTCAGGGTAAAACTGAGCCACACAGGGTAAAACTGGCCTAAGTGCCACAGGAAATGTCAGTGGGTGTGGCTGGGAGACGCTGGATGGTAAATCGTTGGCTGAATGTGTTAGGATTTTGAGTCCCCAGAACCCATGTGAAGCTGGGTGTCTGTCATGGGAGGTGGGTGCAGGAGGATCAACCCCCCAAAGCGGGGGCCAGCCTAGCCTGAGCCAACAAGGAAGGCAAGGACTGTCATCCGAGGTTGACCTCTGACCTCCCTTGTGCAGTGGCCTGTTTGCATCCCAGAGTACTTATGCATGCACAGCACAGACGTACACAAACGTGCACCTGTCAGATACGAAGAAACGGCTGAACAGGCATCTGCATTCTTAGACGATGCGCCTGCTTCCCCATTAGCTCAGGAGCCCCCTTCATTCCCGCACCCACACCCACCCCTGCTCACTGAGAAAGGACCAGAGGGAGTCTGTTACCAGGAAGTTAGTTAGGGTCAGTCAGGGCACCCGTTACCCTCCCCCACAGCAGGCCTCCTGAGTATCAAGGCCTGCAGCAGCGGCGGCGGCCTGGGTGACTACTTTCTGCTGAGGGAGGGCTTGGGGCTGGCAAGTTCTGCTTTAATGCTGGCATGGAAACCTGCTAGGCTAATAATGTTCTGTCACCGAGCTACACCTTCAGCCAGAGCTAACATTCGAGCTGGGAGCTGAGGGATTTGAAGGTAGCCTGGGCTACCGTGGGCAGAGAATGCAGAGTGCTCCAGGCCTGTCTGACACCTGTGTTCCCACAGGGTCTGGTGGTCCTACGCCTTTAACCCCGGCACTGAGGAGGTCAAGGCAGGCGATCTCTGAGTTTGAGGCCAGTCGGCTGTAAATAGCGAGTTCCAGGACAGCCAGGGCTACACAGAGAAATCCTGTCTGAAAAAGAAATTTAGCACACGGATGTTCCTGAATTAGGAATAGTTTGTGGCAGCACCCTCCCATCCTAGCCCTGCGGTTGGCGGGGAGCAACTTTCTGAGTTGGTCTCAGACCGCAGCTTCCTCCGAAGACCTGAGTCCCTGTTTCAGGGAGGTGGGAAGTCAGTGTAGGGGTGAAGCCTGGGTCTGAGAACAAGCTGGTGTAGAGGAGCCAGGGGAGGAAGGCTGTAGATAACACAGGGCACCACGTTGGTGGCCTCCGCACTTGGTCAGCCCCGGAAGCTCAGACCTGTCGCTGAAGTCCACTCTGGCCCTATGCGAACTTTCCTTACTGTGCCTGATGCGTGCTGGGAAAGTTCTGGGGCAAGATGAGCCGATCATACACCTGCCCCTGACAACGGGGGGTGCTGGCCAGAGAGGGGTGGCCCTTAAGGGAGCTTGTCTCACTCCTCAAGATCCCGGTGAGTCACCCCAGATGTGGAGGCTCCCTGCACGGACCCTTGACGCCACTCCTCTCTTTCAGCTTGCAAAGGCCGGGGTCAGGCAAGAAGGACGGCTTTGTCTGAAATGCCAACTAATTGAGAAAAGACGGGGGCATTTGTCCGAAGTCCAAACTGCCTAGGGGCTGAACCAGGCGCGGTTTACGCAGCTGGCCGCGGCAGACCGGTGGGCGCCCTCTCCCAGGTGGAGGCTTGCGCTTAAATGAACCACATCTGATCCTAATCTAGTCACAAGACCTTCTCAGTTCTGCGGATCTCAACAGGGCTCATTTCCTCGAGCTATTCCGGTGCCTCTGCCCACAAGTGGTGGCTGGACTCTTGCACAAGCACGGGCTGGCGGGGGCAGCTGCCCAGTGGCTCTCCGGGGCTCATCGCCAGCTCCGGCGCTGAAGGAAGACGGTTCTTCCGGCGACCGCGGAAGACACGGGTTAGGCCGACGACACGGGGTCGGCAGAAGTCGGCCCCAAGCCCTGAGCTAGGAGTCGGATAGCAGCCGAGAACCAGCACGGTCCCGACGCTGCCGGTGCCGGGCGCGCTCTGCTCGCGGTGTAGCGCCCCCAGCGGCCGCGAACAGCAGCGCGGCTCCCGCCAGGCTCAGCGCGGGCCGGGCCGCGGAACGAGCAGTTCCCGCGAGAACAGGAGCGCTTATTTGAGCGCAAGCGCAGAGCGCACACTTCTCTTTTCCGGTTCCCGCGACCTCCGCAGCCATGAGGTAGGTAGCTCTCGGGGCGCGATCCGCGGCCATCCGCGCACCCGGCTGTCCCGCGGGGCCCCCTGACGCCCGGCTCGGAGGCTCTCCCCGCGGCTGGCCTCGGCGCGAGCAACCCGTCCCTGTGGGCCTGGCCCGCCGGCGCGGGGCGCGGGATCCGTCATGGCGGGCCCTGAGCGCCCTCGTTTCTCCCCTGCAGCAGCAAAGTGTCCCGCGACACCCTGTACGAGGCGGTGCGGGAAGTCCTGCACGGCAACCAGCGCAAGCGCCGCAAGTAAGCGCGGGCCGCCCCGGGCGAGCACGCTGGGCGGGGGTGGGGGGGGGGCGGGCGAGCATCCCCGGCAGCACCCTGGGCGGGGGGTCGGGCGAGCACCCCGGTAGCGCCCTGGGCAGGCGGGTGGGCGAGCACCGTGGGCAGGAGTCAGGCGAGCACCCCGGTAGCATCCGGGCAGGGGGCGGGCGAGCATCCCGGCTGACGTCGCCCCTGTCGCTTTAGGTTTCTGGAGACGGTGGAGTTGCAGATCAGCCTGAAGAACTATGACCCCCAGAAGGACAAACGTTTCTCGGGCACCGTCAGGTTGGCACCGCTCTGACCCCACCCAGCCCCTCAGTGTCCCCGTGTTGTCCCTCCCACCCGTGCCGCCCCGGCCGACTCCCGAGGCGAGCGCGAGGACACTGACGCGCCAGGGTAGTTCAGGCGTCCTGCTCCGGGCAGGCTGGCTGGACGGACCCCCACCCTGGGTCTTAAAACAAGAGGGGAGGCGTGGGGAGGCCTCGGCCGAGCCCGCCGGCTAGCCTGAGAAGCCAGGCTAGTGTCGACACCTCCGGGTAAGACACGGTCGGGCGGGGCCTGCTGGCGTCGCAGCCGCCTCCTGGGGCCCTGGGGGACTTGGCCGTGACCCGCCGCGCCCCCTCCCCCAAACGCAGGCTGAAGTCCACTCCTCGGCCCAAGTTCTCGGTGTGCGTCCTGGGGGACCAGCAGCACTGCGACGAAGCCAAGGCCGTGGACATCCCCCACATGGACATCGAGGCACTCAAGAAGTTGAACAAGAACAAGAAGCTGGTCAAGAAGCTGGGTGGGTGCGGCTGGCCCGGGGAGGCCCTTCCCAGGGGTGTCAGGCGGCCCCTACGCAGCTGTTGGGCCTCCGTGTTGATGCTAACGACCTGGGTCTGGTGGTTTAGCCCTCCGCGGGAGGCGGCCTCGTGCTCTCCGGCGTTGGGTCTGCAGCGCTGTCAGGCAATTAGCGCGTGAGTGAGGCTAGTGAGTGGGTGCCCGGGGTCCTGTCAGATCCCCTCTCCCCGGGTGCCATCACGCTGTAGTTAGAGCTGCGTTTACAGACGGAAACACCCTCCCCTTGTTAGTGCTTACACACTCGGGGGTAACACATGCACACGCCCGCACGCACGCACGCGCCTTGAAGTGCCTGGGCTCGGGTCTACTACTGAGGTATTCGCAGGCCTCGCTGAGTTCCCCAGGCTACACACTGGCAGTCCTGCTTCGGGTCTTTAAAGAGTTGCTCCTGCTTTTTCTGGCCTGGATGTGAGCGGCCTGTGACTTATCCTTACAGCCAAGAAGTACGATGCCTTTTTGGCTTCCGAGTCCCTGATCAAGCAGATCCCACGTATCCTGGGCCCAGGCCTAAACAAGGCTGGCAAGTTCCCTTCCCTGCTGACACACAATGAGAACATGGTGGCCAAAGTCGACGAGGTGAAATCTACTATCAAGTTCCAGATGAAGAAGGTGGGTCTGCGCTGCGGCTGGGGGGAGGGGTCTCAGCGCTGAGCTCAGGGACCATCAGCACTGAGTGGGCCTGGTCACTGGGGAGGACGTTGACCAGCCCGGCCTCCCTGCAGGTGCTGTGTCTGGCCGTGGCTGTGGGTCATGTGAAGATGACGGACGATGAGCTGGTTTACAACATCCACCTGGCTGTCAACTTCCTGGTGTCCTTGCTGAAGAAGAACTGGCAGAATGTCCGAGCTCTGTACATCAAGAGCACCATGGGCAAGCCCCAGCGTCTGTACTAGGATGCCCCAATAAACCTCAGTGCTACCAGCCCTCGTCTGCCTGCTTGGTGTGAGCTGACTTTAGAGCTGTGAGGCTGGGGGTGTGAGCAGTCGGGAGGTTGGGGGTGTGAGCAGTCGGGAGGTTGTGTGAGCAGTCAGATTCAGTGGGTAGGGCTTGCTTGCGCCAATCAGCGGGGTGGCCTTGCCTTGCTTCTGACCCAGGAAGGACAACTCAAAGCTAATTGAGTTTGGTTACAGGTGAGGTGTGGGGTTTTTTTGTTGTTTTTCAAGACAGGGTTTCTCTGTATTGTGGAGGCTGTCCTGGATCTCACTATGTAGACCAGGCTAGCTTCCAACTCAGATCTGCCTGCCTCTGCCTCCTGAGTGCTGGGATTAAAGGTGTGTGCCACCAACACCCTGCTATGGTTTTCAGATCTTATGATAGGGTCTATGATAGTGACAGGCAAAGCCAAGCTTAAAGGTGCTTAGGGCCAGGACCAAAGATAATGAACACTATTCTGCCTATTGGAGCCTCTGGGCAAACAGCCTTCAGGTTGATTCTGGGCTGGCCCCTCTTGAGGATCAAACCCAGCCCCATAGCTGAGGGGGGAGTATACTACCCTCACCTGTGAGCCTCAAGGGTGCACCAGAGTGGTCTGAAACAGGCTTGCCTGTGTGGCCAGTGAAGTCAGGGTCCATTGCACTGGTGTAACAGGGCTGGTGCCCTACCTATAAGACTAACAAACTGCAGGGGGGTGTAGTGGCCTCATTCTGCCTCACCCATGAGGGAGGCTCAGATGTTACTAGTGTGCCTGCTCAAGCCTGGGCATCTCCAGGACCTTCCATGCATGGTCCAGCCTGGGCATCTGCTCACAAGTCCCAGGGCCTCTGAATCCTGCTGGCTTGACTAAGCAGCGACTGCCCAGAAGGCACTAAGGTGAGTGCCAGCTGCTACTGGGCACCAGGTACAGGGTGTGCGGGTGTGCATGAGGTGGTGGCTGACCAGTGGCGTCCCAGTGCCAGGGTGGGAGGTTGCACTTGACACACAACTGTGTCCTGACCCAGAAACAGCCTTTAATTTTTTTTTCTTTAGCAGAAGTCAGGCCTTGAGAGGCCCCTGCCTTCTTGAGCCATTTATGATATAGCCCATCACAGCTGGATTTAAAAATACACAAAAATACATATAATACATGTTATAAAACCTAGGTGGGGTTTGTTTGGAGGTGGCCTGAGCAGTATGTGAATGGTGAAGACCTTCAGGAAAGCTCGGGCGGCATGAGGAGGGCACAGTACTTCATTTGACACTCATAAATACCAGGTTGACCTGGGGACAGGACAGTTGACACTCAGGGGCCTTGATGTGGCTACAGCAGAGCAGGGAGCCTCCCTGTCCTCCGTCTTGAGGACATTGGAGGGGTGCCTGCTAGCTGATATGCTGTGGAGGACAGGGCAGCACCATGTCTGCCTCCAGCCCTCTCCTGGAGCCTGCCCTGTCCTAGGGAGGTAGCTGACCCTAGGCTCTAGCTCCGCCCGCCGCTGTGGGCTGTCTTGGCACTGTCTGATGCGGGAGCCCAGGCTTGCAGTGCAGGAGGCCTGGGAGCAGGCTGGTACCCAGCAGTGTGGACCCTTAGCCCAGATCCCAGTTTGACACCTTGTACCAAGGCAGCCTGGCAAGCTGCCTGTCTCTGGCATCCATCCTACCCTCACCTGCTCATCACATTCCCTTAGGGGCCAGAGGCCATGCCTGCAGGTGCCCCCCACCCCCCAGCTCTGATGTCACTTGAGGCCAGGTGGAGCCGGTCATCTGTGGGCCAATGCCGAGGAAGGCCACATCCACCATGGAACCCATTTCTCTCCGGAAGCGCAGAACAGTGGCAGGGAGCGTGTGTGCTGGGGCCAGGGGAGGCAGCCTGGGTCCCAGCCTTGAAACCCATGGGTGGGCGAGCGCCCCAACCCACACCCGGGGAGACCGGGCAGGCAGGTGTGTAGAAAGTCCGCCTTGCACCCTTGTGGACACGTCAAAGGTGTGCTAGTCTTTGACAAGCTTGTAGACATGGTGCTGCGCCCCGTGCTCGCTGGCAGAGACTTCGAAGACAAACGCAATGACGAGCAGGGTCTCCTGCGAGTCCCGACTTGTGACCACCTACGGGGGTGGGGGGCAGGGAGGAAGAGAGCGAACAGGACTCAGCAGAGCAGCGGCTGCGCCCATGCGCGCCTCTCCAAGCTAGCCTGGTGGCGGGTGAGCCTGGCCCCGGGACAGCCGCGCACCTGCAGGATGGTGAAGTTCTCCAGCACGCTGTTCATCATGTACTTCTCGGGGAGGTGCTTGAGCTTGTGGATGAAGTTGATCATGTACTCGCACATGGGTGAGCGGTGGATGCGGTACACGAAGCGCCCGTTCTCCAGGCGCGCGTACTCGGTCTGCGGGGTGGGGCAGGAGCGTCACTGCGTGTCCCCGCCCCCAGGCCCCGCCCCCGCCCCGCCCCCAGGCCCCGGCTCACCTCCACTTTCTCTACCACCTGCTTGCCGAAGGAGCACACCTTGGTGGACACGCTGATGGTCATGCTGTCGGCCGAGCTGTACTGTGAGCTGACCCCGTAGAAGGCTCCAGGGCCCTCTTGAACTGTGCTGTTGAGGTCAGCCTGGGGGAGGGGGCACCAAGTGCTGCAGAGGTCACAGGTCACCTGCCTCCAGTCCCACCTACCCGGGGTCTGCAGGTCCCGCCCAGGGGCCCGCTGGTCACAGAGGAGAGCAGAGGCAGGGAGCTGGGCGAGCTGCCCATCTCGGGTTGGGAGAAGCCTCACCCAGAACTTGACAAGGAAGAAGGCGTTTGGGGGCCCCTTCTCGTAGAGTTCCTTCAGCCCCCCCTTCTTCTCGGGGAACTTGTCGTAGATCTGCCGCACGTCCACGGCCTCCAGGGGTGGGTCTGAGAAGGCGGGGTTTGTCTGGCCGATGTGTACAAACAGGTGTTTGCTGTACTGTGGGGAGGGCAGAGCCAGGGTCAGCCTGCAGGGGTTGACCTGCAGGCCCAAGGACCCCGATGTGGTGCTCCGTCACAGGCTAGTTTCCCCACCCTCCCCACAGTACCGTGTCGGGGTCCCGCTGCACCTCCATGAAGGCAGAGTACTCCAGGAGGCGGAGCCGGGAGGAGGCGATGGTGCGGTCCTGCCACGCAGGCGCAGAGGCAGAGGAGGCGGCAGCAGGGGGCAGCGGGGCCAGGGACTCATAACCTGAACCGGTAAGAGACAGCTCTTAATCCCAGCATCGGGAGGCAGAGGCAGGTGGATCTCAGTGAGTTCGAGACCAGCCTGGTCTATAGAGCGAGTTCCAGGACAGCCTCCAAAGCTACACAGAGAAACCCTGTCTCGAAAAAAAAACCAAAAAAACAAAAACCAAAGTGACATAGCTCAGTGGACAGCAGGGTCGGGCTTTACTCCAGGGGGTGGTGATGTGCCATGCACAGCCCACATTGTACCAAAGGGGTGGTCCTAAGTCACAGGGTGTTTCCGTGTACCACTATTAATGTGTGTTTTCACAGAAAACGAAAATGCCACCACCGAGGGTGGGATGCTGTTAAGATTTTGGTGTCTTTCTTTACAGGGGTGAGAAACTTAACCAAACCCTTATGGCTGCCACCCACCCCAGCACAAATGCACACGGGTCCCTAACATAAGGGCAGATGCCAGAGGCACCAGGTGCCACATGGCCTGGCGGGACACTTACTGTTGAGCGTTGGTGGCAGGGGAGGCTGGATGGGGTAGGCAGGCTGGGCAAAGGGCTTGATGCTGTGGACAGGAATATGGTGGGTTAGAGGCAACTTTCACCTGCCCAGTCCCTCCCCTGCGTCCCCTCAGCAGATGCTCGCAGGCTAGCCCACCTCTCTGCTTCCTCCATGATGGCATCCAGCTGCATCCCACAGCTGGCGTTACATGCCCCCCCTTCCGTCCTTAAAGAGCTGTTCACTGTGGCTGTCAGTGTATTCTCAGAACTGAGAGCCCCGGGCTTTGTCCACTGCCTGGCAGTAACCGGGGATGAACTTAGGTTCCCCAGGTAAGAGACAAATACAAGGACGGTGACGGTGAGATTCGGCTCAGGAAGAGGGGAAAGACACACAGGAGACACAGGCAATACTCACTCCTGAGACGGCCCAGGCTGTTGTCCCAGCAGAGGGGGACCACTCCAGAACTGTGGACAAAACCAGGGCCTCAGTGTCCGGGAACCCTAGCCACACCCCAGATCAGCCCCCAGCCCGGCCCCCCCATACCCTTGAGGAGGTGGAGAAGACAGCCTGGGGTAAAGGGGAGGGCGGGCTGAACTTGTTCTGCAGGACGCTCGCGGAGACGATCTGTGCAGACGACATGGAGGCCATGCTTTGGAGTGCTTTGTCCTTGGAGACCTGGTCCTGGGGGACAGTGTTCACATGAGGTCTGGACCACGCCCTTCAGGCAGGAATTCTAGGCCAGCTCTGCGATGGATTCAGCACAGTCTACCCTCTGAGCCCCGGTATCCTGGTGTCTGTGTCCTTTCTGGGCACAGCCCACAGAATGAAATACCACTTCATTCTATACCCCAGTGCGGCGGTCCCTTGCAATCCCTGAGGGAACCAGTTCTGGGCCCTCCCTCACGAACTGAAATGCAGAGTGCCCAGATCTGTCACACACACAGCATCTGCGGAGACCCTGCATGCTCCTCCCGGATACTCAAATCATCTGTGAGCTCTCTGAAACCAAACTCACGTTACAATTCACATTTTAGGCTTTGGTTTGGTTTCAACGCTGAGCGTGCCTGGTGGGCACTCTGCCACTCACTATGCCACCCCGATGCTCTGTCACCCCGGTCTCTCCAGCCCCTCCTCAGGGGCGCTGGGCCACTTACCAAGTTCATGGCCTGTGAAGGAGAAAGGGACAGAGGGTTAGATACTGAGGGCTCTGAGGGGGAAGGAACATGGATTGCTGCAACCCACCCCCACCCCGTGCCCTGGCTGTCAGCTCCCAAGGAAGCCAAGAGGCAGCTGGGTGCCCTCCCCACCACAAGAGGGAGTGCTTGCCCGCCGGGGGTGCCCTGGCAAGGTGAGGATGAAGAAAAGTTAGGATCACGGGTCTGTCTGTCCCTGCTAGAACTCAGCCTTAGGCTCGGGAGACTCAGAGGCAGGGAAAACAGGGCAGATCCGGAAGCGCAGACCGAAGCTCAGTCAGGGACTCTCTTATCCCATCTCTACTGAGCTGCCAGCCCACGCCCTCATATCCTCCCTCAAGTCCCCAAGCCATTAGCAAGCAGCAGTCAGGAGGAAAGAGCAAGGGGGACAGAGGAGAGGCAGGCTGGAGTAGCTCTCAGACACTGGCCACCTGCTGTTGGTCACCAGGAGCTGTGGCCCCGGAACGCTGTCAGCCTGGTTTTGGTTTTGTTGAGACAAGTCTTTCTCACTGTGTAGCCCTGGCTGTCCTGGAACTCAGATCTGCCTGCTTCTGCCTGACGCTGGGGTTACAGCGTCACCAGCCCAGACCCCTCCAGGGTTTTGGGTTTTCCTGCTGTCACTGGTGTGTCTCAAATCCTCTCGGTTCCCCAGCCCTGTTCTAGGCAGAGCTAGGCCAAGCGGCAGGGGCCGTACCTTCAGCCTGGACTGAATCTCCTGAGACTTCCTCCTGGCTAGAACCTGCAAGTGACTAGAGACCTGTGGGAGAGAGAGAGAGGGAAGGACAGAAGAGAAGGGGGCAAGAGAGAGCGGAGGCCAGAGAGGCACCGTGCGCTGCAGTCGGCCAAGGCAGAGAGGCCTGCGGTGTGCAGAAGAGGCCCGGCAAAGGCCGGAGGCCCTGCTAGGCACCCGACATACCTTGATGCCAACCTGGTATTCCCGAACCTTCTTCCGAGCTAGAACCTGTATGTGGCTGGACACCTAGGGGGGTGCGCCCCAACACAAAGGAAAACACAGATGGTGAGGAGGCACAAGCACCCCAGGCCTCATCTCCTGGGGACCAGGGTCCAATGGGAGAGCTTCTTCTTGGCCTTGAGTCAAGAGTCTATATTGGCCTCAAGGACCACTATGCCACTATGCACCATGGTGCAGGCTGTTGACAGAACGGAACGCCAGTCCATGACATGCCCCTCGCTGAGGCAGGTGAGGGCTGCACCTGACCTCACGGGAGCCCCCAAATCGGCTAGCCATGGCTCCTTGGCTCCTCCTAGCATTAGATGTGCATTGAAGCCACAGTTGCCTTTTTTTTTTTTTTAAGTTTTCACTCCAAACTTGAAGCCCAGTAAGAGGCCCAGCAACTTCATAGGTCTCTGTGGCAACTCTGATTTACAGATGACTGGATCATAGCCGGATGGATGCAGGGCTGTGTGGCTCTCGAGGCACTTTTGGCTTCGCCAGCATGCTATTCTCACAGGATTCCTTCAGACCCGTAAGTGGGGACCACCTCCCCAGGCAGAGCCAGCTCTGACAGCTGGAAGCCACAGGGAGCTTACGCCCAACTTGGCATTGAGCTTTCTGGTTACCATGGAGGCCTTGTGCCGGGCATGGTGGCACATACCTTTGAACGTGGGGCCCGGTTGGGTTTACCTCAGAGTCTGAACTTTCAGACCCCTCAGCCCCTTCCCAGGACTGACCAGAGGTTCCCGAGAACATGGGTGTGGCCTACCACAGCGGACATAATGGCAGCAGATGCACTCAATGGCTATAGGTGTCCATGTGCCAATCAGATCAATTGCCAAGGAGCCAGGGCTGGGAAGCAAACTTAACCCAGGCAGGACAGCCTGTGGGAACTGAGGGCTTAACCTCAGAGTCTGTTGTCTGGGGGTGGGGGCTGAGCCTCAGACTGAGATTGCGGGCATGCACCGCTCCATAGTGGAGGGCGTGCTCTTATCAGCCCTCCAAGAGCAGGAGCCTGAGGTCAGGGACCAGCGTGGCCACCCCAGCTGGACTGGGGGCCCGGAAATGATTGACAGGCAAGGGACCTAGGGCTTCCAGCCTCTTCCCAGGATGGGGTTAGGGCACACCCAGCTCTCTGCGTAAGTGGGTACACAGTTTAAATCCCGACCCCTGGGAAGGGCTGGGGGTTGAGTTGACCTCGCTCCTAGGTACCCCAGATCCAACTCACTCCCCTCTGCCTGGTCACCCCCAGCTGTGGCCACCCCCCCATCCCTACCATGTGGATGCTGTCTCTGCCTCCACCTCCTGGCCGGCCTCACAGATCCACTGCCCTGGCAGCTATGGGGCCACAACCCTCGCTCTTGAATGCCCCAACAGGGCTCCCTTCCCCCCTCCTCTCCCCAGTCCTGGTTCACTCTGTTGGGTCAGGGGCCAATCCTGACCCCACCTCCTCCCAGCTCAGTGACTCCCCTCCCCAGTTTTAGCTTTATGCCATCTTGACACAAGCTAGCCATTTGGGAAGAGAGAGGGAACCTCAGTTGAGAAGGTGCCCCCACAAGACTGGCTTGCGGACAAGCCTGTGGCACACTTTGTTGGTTGGCGTGGGAGGGCCCAGACCACTCTGGACATCGCCCACTTTGGACAGCGCCATCCCTGGGAAGCCGTCCTGGGTAGTTTTTTTTTTTTTTACGAGACAGGGTTTCTCTATTGTTTTGGAGGCTGTCAGTCCAGCCTGGCCTCGAACTCACAGAGATCCACCTGCCTCTGCCTCCCGAGTGCTGGGATTAAAGGCGTGCACCACTACCGCCCGGCTCTGGGTAGTTTTAAGAAAGCAGCGGGCAGCACTCTTCCAGGTCCTGCCCTGCCTTCCCTCGGTGATGGGCTGTCATTGGGAAGCGTGTGGAGAAGCGGGCCTCCCTTCTCAAGTTGCTTTTGGTCATGGTCCTCATCACGGCAACAGAGCGGGCTCTGAGCTGGCCTCGCTCCTAGGTACCCAGATCCATCTGTATGGCCTCAGTCAGCCTCAATGGCGTGCGCTGACGCAGGTGGGTTTAGTTGCTATCATGTCTGGTGTGCTCAACCCCAGCTATGGCAGGGTCCCTTCCCTGGGTAACGCCCACATCCTTCAAAGGCAGACAGACCTGGTGTCTCTCCTCCAGGCCTACCCCAGTAAGCCTACACGGTCATCTTCCTGACTGGTGAGCAGACCCTGGGGCTAATCCGTGGTCCTAAGCCCAAGACACCCATGGGTGGAGCGGCAGGGCGCCAGGGCCAGCTCTTTACCTGTTTTCTCGTCCTGGTCTTTCCTGTCCTCAGCTTGATGTAGCGGGCAATCAGCTCATTTCGACCTTGTCAGAGAGAGAGACAGTCTTCAATGAGAACTGAGCAGAAGAAGGGTCCAACCGCAGGCTGGGCACCCCACCCTCGCCACTCTTCGCTCTGGGACCCCCTGCACACTGTCTCCAGGACCCGGGGAGGGGAATGCCCACAGCAAACGGAGGACCTGGACAGGCTTCCCAGACAGCACGGCCATCACCCGTGACGCTCAGCAGGGTTCAGAGGCTGGGGTGTGGGTGGGTCTGTGAGCGGGTCTGTGTGGCTTCACCCTGCCATGGGGACCCTGCACAAGCTGTGTCCCTCCTCTGGTGAAGGACCTCTAGGATGTCTCTTATCTAGTAGCTTGGGTCAAGGTGCGTCCCGGGGTCCTTACGCCAATGACCCACACGGTGTTACCCGGTGGACTTGGTCCTGGGGTAGGGGCTCTGTTCAGCATCAGGGACCCTCTTGGGGAGCAGCCTATGCAAGGTGGGGGCTGTCTCTACATACCATAGGGTGTGCCTGTCAGCTTCCAGGGTGTGCACTCAGCCCCCCAACCTCCTGTCCTCCCCAGAACTGCCACATTCCCCAAATTCCTCCTTGATGACAGAACAGGCCCCACTGCTCCTCCCCGCCCGCCCGCCAACCCCTTGTCTAAAAATACCCCGTGGGGCTGCCCTGCCTGCCATTGGTGAGGGTGCAGTGTGGGCAGGCAGCCCCGCCCGGTGGAGGCACCCCAGAACACCCTCCTGTCCCGAGAGTGGGGTTCAGGCATTAAGGACCGTCCTGGGCAGAGGGTGAGGCCCTCTCTCTACTTCTCCCTATGGTGTCCCCTCAGTCCTGGGTGCTGGGAGTCAGGGGAGTCTGGTGCTGCCTCACTAGGCCATCGGCTCTCAGAGGCTCACTGGGCTGACCCAGTTTTCCTGGGCCCCTGAGTCACCCCGAAACCTCCAGCCGGCAGGGCCGGGGAGAGGCGGGGCGCGTGTGGGCTGCGGCCGGCCTGTTTGCGAGGTACAGCTGGAGGAGGCCCCAGACACACGCAGCTCGAGCCCGCCCGGACTCGCCCGCCGGGCAGGCGGCCAGGGCTCCCCCAACCAACCGGTCTGGCAGGGGACAGAGAGCAGGGGGCGGGGCCAGCGGGCGGGGCCACGCCCACCTCTGCCCGCCCCACGCACTCACCGTACATCTTGCCCTCATCCGACAAGATGATCTTGCGTCGGCCGCAGGGCGGGTAGATGGCCAGGGCCTCCTGGAAGCTCTGCTCGATGTCCGGGCTCCACACTCCCTCGGCATCGTTGTCCAGCCCCTTGTCCAGGCCTTCGGACCCATCCTCCCGGGCCTCCCCGGGGCTGCTGTTGGCGGTCCAGCTGTTGGACGCTATTGTGCTGGTTGCTCTGGGCTCTGGGCCTGAGCCCCCTGACGGCTTGAGCCTGGACAAGGAGACGAGGAGGGGTCAGGGCAGGGTTTTCCCATCCCAGCGGCCACAACTCCGGTGCTCCCCACGCCAGGGGCAGGTGCTCCAGGCTGGATGACGGCGGCAGTTTAGCCTGTTCAGAGCTGGTGTGACCTTGGACTAGTTACTTTAGCTCTCTGAACATGGGTCCTATAAAAAGTCAAAATGGTCCCTGGAGGAGATGGACCCATCCCCAGCACCCGTGCTAACAACTGCCTGTCGCCCCTTGAGTTATGAGGGTGAAAAATGCCAGGCCGCAAACCCTGAAAAAGCAATAGTAGCTGGGTATGGTGGTGTAATCCCAGCATTTGCAAAGGCTGAGGCAGGAGGATCAGGAGTCCAGCCTCCTCCACGACACAGGAGTTCTGGGGCCAGGGTCAGCCTGGGCTGCGCGATACCTCGGCTCTTCCTGTCCTTCTTCAAATGCTCCCAAGAGAATCTGTCAAGTCTGATGACCTGAGCTTGGTTCCTGGGACCTGCATGGTGGCAGGATAGATGGACTCCCGAACAGTGTCCTCTGACCTCTGCAGGCACGGCTCGTTCACACACGCTCGCGCGCGCGCACACACACACACACACAGAATAACTAATAAAGGTAGGAGGACTGCGGTCTCCCTGTCACCACCTACAACAGTACATATATCATCAGGTGCTGCACACCTGTAATCACTCGCACTTGGGAGGCCGAGGCAGGAGGATTGCTGGTTTGAGCCAGGCATAGTGTTTGCCTGTAATCCCAGCATGCAGGAGGCTAAGGCAGGCAAACCAGAAATCTCAAAGGTCAGTCTGGACTACACAGACCCTGACTCAAAACACAAAAACCTGGGCATGGTGGCATAAGCCAGTAACCAACACTGCAAGGCTAGGGCAGACACACTCAGCAACAGAGGCCAGCCTGGACTCTGTGAGAGCCTCTACACTCAGCAACAGAGGCCAGCCTGGACTCTGTGAGAGCCTCTGGCACACATGCATGTCTGTTCAGTCTCTACATAGGCAGGCAGGGAGGAGCAAGACAGCTGAGGCTTCCCAGGCACATGACGGCCAGGGGAGCTCTGAAGCTGCGTGTCCAGCAAGCACTGCTGTGTCTACGGCCCTCTTGGGGCAGACAGGCAGGTGAGAGGTCTGGCCAAGGCCTTCACTGCCAACTCCTCCCAACACCAGTGCAGGCCTGCTGAAGCCCCTGCTGTGTGTGAGAGAAGACTGTTCTCACCTTCCCCACAGGTCACTGAAGAGAACTCCACGGAGGAGCTTAGCACAGGCCAGCAGCTGCCCTAAGAGTGGCCAGCACGGAGCAGCAGGGGCCAGCCTGTCCAGCCTACTCCATCCACTCCCTGCTCCACACCTCATCACCACAGGCAGGCCTGTCAGATGGGCACCTGTGCTTCACCACACTTCCTGTCCGCAGGAACACCACCCCAGAACACCAGAATCTGACCCTCGGTACACTTTGCTGTGGGTAAGCAAAAATGCAGACTGTCTGTCGGTGTGGTGGTGCACGCCTTGAATGCCAGCACCCAGGAGGCGCTGCACTGACTGGACAGACAGACAGACAGACAGACAGACAGACAGACAGACAGACAGACAGACACACACACACACACACACACACACACACACACACACACACACGGCACTGTCTTGGAGCTCATTTTACTCATCTGTGTTTGAGGCAGGTCTCACTAGATTGCCCAAGCTGGCCACCCTCAGCCTCCCAGGTGGCAGGATAACAGAAATATCTATGTAACTGCACACAGCTCTAGACCTCAGGGTTAGACTTAATATTTCTAACAGTGGCACCTGCTGTATGCCAGGTGTGGTTTGGGAATTTTAAGCAATGACTCATCCAATCTTTACAGTAACCCTTTGGGGTACTACTTTTTAAAATTATTTATTTCTCTTCATGCGCATTGGTTTTTTGCCTGCCTGAGTGTCAGAACAAGGATCCTGGATCTTGCTGGAGTTACAGTTTTGAGCTACCACGTGGGTGCTGGGACTTGAACCTGGGTCCTTCTGAAAAGCAGCCAGCCCTCTCAACCGCTGAGCCGTCTCTCCAGCCCCTGGGGTACTATTATTAGTCCTACTTAATTACATGAGAAAAACCAAGGAACAGGGACGTTAAACAACTTCCCCAAGGACACACAGCAAGTCAGTCACAGAACAGGGTTTTGAACAGTTACTGGTTAGTGGCGGGGATGGGGGAGGGTACATGGGAGAAGAGAGACCCTGGCTGCCCACTCCCTGACCATGAGGACAGGAAAAAGGCAGGGAAGCCCACCACCTGGGGAGAAAGCAAGGTTCAGGCCACTGAGCCCCCTAAGTTCAAGTGGCCATAACAACTTCAAGGGCCAGCCGGGCAGGGGTGGCGCACGCCCTTAATCCCAGCCCTCGGGAGGCAGAGGCAGGTGGATCTCTGTGAGTTCGAGACCAGCCTGGTCTACAGAGTGATTTCCAGGACAGGCTCCAAAACACTACAAAGAAACCCTGTCTCGGAAAAACCAACCCCCCCAAAAAAGAAAAAACAACTTCAAGGGCCTCACACCCCCGCACGTGACAGTGGGCAGCCTGTCCCTGGCCCCAGGACCGGTCTAGGTCTGCAACCCTTCCATTCCGTTTACAGTAGGCATGGGGCGAGGTGCCGAGCTAGCTGGGGGAGGGGCAGCTGGTGGTCTTAGCCTCCCCAGGTACGGGTCTGGCATTGCCATGGAGCTGTCAGATCAGCTGAAGGGTCACAGGTCCCTTCCTGAGATAAGACCCCTGGGCCCTCAGCCTCCGATGGAACAGCCAGGCCCAGTGCTCCGGGGACCTGGCAGCCCGACTTGTGAAGAAACTTGCTGGCCTCCCCCAAGTCTCTGGCTGTCTCCCCCTCATCCAGGCCATGCCCCCCTCCTGGGTGATGTCAGTCCTGCCCCGCCCCCGCGGGAGCATGTGGCCAAATATGGCGAACAGAGCTGCCGGAGAGCTGGGACCGACAGGGGGGCGGGGCAGCCCCTGGCGGGGATCACGGCAGCTGGGGAGGGGGGAAGGGCACCGGGGGTGATGGGGTGTCAAGGAGTAGGGGTGTCAAGGTACTCCCGGGCACCTGCAGGACTGACGCGGTTCTAAGGACACACCCCTGGAGGGCACAGTACCCACGAGTGGCATAGGTGGCACCCAAAAAACAGCCTCCCGCAGAAACAACTGGAGCAAAAGGCCCTCCACCGCCCAGCATGGGCAGATGCTGCGGGCAGGGGTCTCCTCTGCCGCCATCACAGAAGACACCCCTCAGGAGGCACGGGAGGCTACCAGGCTGACCACTGCGGCCCTCCCGGGTCGCTATGATGGATGAAGAAGACAGTGTCTGGAGCACCGGTGCTCACCCCCAAACGCTGGGAGCCAGGAGGCCGAGCCTCAAGGGCAGGCGGGTGGGAGCAGGGCAGCCCCCTAGACACAGCCTCCCTCTGCAGGCTGCGCTCGGGGAGGAACAGAGGGGCAGGAAATGGAGGGTGAGACGCGCCCAGATGGATGGAAAGGGCAGGAGGGTCCCAGAAGCATCCCCCAGCAGGCGCAGGCGGGAGAGAAGCGTGGAGAGGGAGCGCGGAGACCAGCTCGTGCCGGGCACCCCGCTCCCCGGGCAGCCAGGCTGGCGGACTCTCATCAGGGGAGGAGGGAGAAGACCCAGGGATGGGTCCGCGGCACCCAGGTGAAGAGGAAGGAGGTGGGACCCGCAGGAGCACCGCAGGAGGAAGTCAGGGGCCTGGAGCCCGGGGAGGAGGGAGGAGGGCGGAGCGGGGCCTGGCTCGGCCCCTCCCCCAGACCCTCTCCCTGAAGCCGGACTTCTCCGGCTGGCTTCAGCCTTCCCGAGGCTTCGGCACCTCACCCTTAGCCTGCAGAACAGTCACACCTGCCTCCTCCCCCCCTCGCCCAGACCCTCGGCCTGGGGGTCAGAAGGTGCCTCGGGCCGGTGACGAGGAAGGGGCCAGGAGGCCCAAGCTGATAAGGGGCCCTGGCTGCCCACTCCCAGCCCTGGGGCCAGATCTACGGGCAGAACTGGCCAGACAGCTCTGAATGGAGGCCAGAGTTGGGCGGCTGCAAAGGCCCCGCGGCTCCCTCCGCAGGGGTAGGGCCGAGCCTGGGGCGCCGGCTCCGCGAGCGCTGCGGCCCTGGTTCGGGCACGGCGGGGCCAAGGCACGCGGTCAGGTGGCCCTGCGCCGTTTCCCAGGGGCGCAGACCCGGGCTGGCTGCCACCTGCCCTGCAGAGGCCCCTTCCCCCAGGTGCTCACTTACAGGAGACACAACCCAAGGCGGGCAAAGCGAGGGTCCCCTGCGCGCCACCCCAGACTGGGCTGGCGAGGAGGCGAAGCTGGGAAGGGCCTGCTGGGCCTCCCCACCCCCTAGCCTTCCCTCCCTCCACCCCACCCCCACAGCAGCCAGCTGTTCTCCAGCTGCCAGAGAGGCTCCCACCCTACCAGTGGCCGAGCTCTGGATGGGACCAGAATGGGCCGGGGGAGGGGGGCAGGGATGCTCTATACCTCCCCCACCTCCAGTCTAAGGACCCAGGAGGGTACGGCCAAGTAGCCACACCCTGCCAGGCTGGGGAGGGAGGACCCGCTCCCCTTCTCCACAGGAGGGAGTAATTTACAGGCCCCTGAAGGAGGCGGTGCCTCCCCTCTCCCGCGCAACTAGTGTGCTTCCAATTTGAGAAGCACCGTCCCGCCCCTCTCCGCCACCCCTAGGAGCCCAGCCAGGAACGGCCCCCTCCTCAACGCCCCAAGCCTCCAGCAGACAGAGCTGACGGGTCCCAGAATGCCTCCCAACCGCTCCCTGCCGCTCTCCAGGGCCTCTTTGTATAGGGAACCTGAGAGATCCAGTGGGGGGGGGGTCAGGCCGAGGAAGGGACAACCTGGGGGACCTGGGGTCCCACCAAGCTCAGTTAACATGTGGCGATCCACCCCGGCCCCGCCCACCGGGCTGCCAGCCGTCGGCGATGTCATCTGAAGTCTCAGCGTCCTCTGTGAGCACAGAGGGTTCCACCTCGCCCTTCCTCCAGCACAGGGGGCAGCAGCTCCTGTGTTTCAAATATATATTCAGATTCACACATATTCATAGCGTTATTTATCGTGTGTGTGTGTGCGTGCGCGCGCTGTGTGTGAGCGTCTTCCGCCACAGTGCACGTGTGGAGGTCAGAGTCCTTCCACCACATCTGCCCCGAGATCAACCTCAGGCCATTAAGGCTTGGCAGCAAGCACCTCTCCCCACCGAGCCATCTCACTTACCCCACCGCGCCTTTTTTGAAAGCAGGTCTTCCCTCCTGTGACTTAGGTCACCCTCAAGCCTGTGGCACCCCCAGTGTGAGGGAAAATTCAAATTGGGGTTTTGTGTGTTAGAATGCAAACTTACCATCTTAGCTTTTGGTTTTTCCTTATTGGGTTTTGATACAGGGTCTTATTATAGCTCTGGCTGGCCCCTGAACTCACCATCCTCACACCTCAACCTCCCAAGTGCTGGGGATTGCAAGGGTGAGCACAAATAAATACACACATATCATGACATCACCACGTTAGGCCTTTTCACGTCCCTCTATTGGAGCCTCCGTCTCTCTGTGGAGCCCTGGCTAGCCCTACACCCACACCTCAGCCTCACCAGTGCTGGACCCCACTAGGCATACGCGCCTTCTCCTTCACAGTATTTTTCTTTTTCCTTGAGGCAGAGTCTTTCTATGCAGCCCTGGCTGTCCTATAACTCACTCCGTAGGCCAGGACGTCCTCGAACTCACCGAGATCTGCTTGCCTCTGCCTCAGAAAGCGTGCACCACCACACCCAGCTTCGCAGTATCTTTTTCAAGGTCTTCCAGATGGGTGCCACATGCATTGGGGTCACAGGCCCCCACACCCTGTGTGGCATAGCCCCGAGGATGTCACCCACACAAGCTGAGACAGTGACCACCCACGGTGTCAGTCAGAGTCACACCCCAGTTTCTCACACAGGGAGCCGCGCACTCTGGCCGTGTCTCTGTCTGTCTGTCTGTCTGTCTGTCTGTCTCTCCCCCCCTCTCTCGCCCTCCCTCTCTCTCTCTCTCTCCCTCCCTCCCTGTCTCTCTCGCTCCCTCTCTCTCTCTGACACACACACACATACAGGGTGAAAATATTGTGCTCAGCTCCTCATCACACACTGCGCCCTCAAACATCGGTGGCAGTGGACACTGTGCTCACGTATGGTGCCGTAAATAAACAGTCACACAGACAAACCCTAAGCCACCTCACGCATCATTTCGCAACTACTGGCAACAGAAGTGGCCACACCATGGCATGACAGGTCCCATGGAATGCCCCTCACATAGAGTCATAGCATCTCTGTCCCTCAGCTTCACCACAGACACACGGTTTTCTTCATGATTATCCCAGTGTGATGCCCAACCACAGAGAGTCGCCAGGGCAGCTTCTCTGATACACACGCGCACGCACACACACGCACACACACGAATGCACGCACTCATACACACACACATAGAGATCCCCACTCCCCAACCAACTTACACACCAGATTCTCATGGGCTCACACACACACACACACACACACACACACACACACACACACACACACACACACAGATCCCCACTCCCCAACCAACCTACACACCAGATTCTCATGGGCTCTCTTCCCACTGTGTGGGCCCTGGACACTGAACTCAGGGCAGCCAGAAAGCTTGACTACAAGCTGTCTTTTTCCCTCAGAGCCATCTCGCCAGCCCAAGCTCTCAGTTTCGCTCCTGACCACAGGGATGGAGAGCATCACACGCCAGCTCACCCCGCACGTCGCCACAGACACTGTCTCTCTGTACCCGGGCCCTTTCCCACACGTACCTACTGCACAGTGTCCCCACACAGATGACCCCTCTCCTCTCAAATCCAGTCACACACAGCTGTGCTCTCATTTCCCTCAATCACTTCCTGTCCTTTCAGGCCTGGCAGGGAGTCCAGGAAACAATCAGCATTCGAGGAAACCCCAAGGGCTGAGGCTTCGGGAGACCTGGGTCTGGATTCAGGGTCTGCAGACAGGTAGCTCCTGCTCGTCTGCTCCGGCAGCAGTGCTCACAGACAGGGACCGCAGCAACCTGGTGATTCCAGCTCTAAACAGACAGGCTCAGGCTGGGGTCCCAGGGCTGCTGACAGCTCCCCTGACCCACGGGGGACAGGCTGGGACCTCCTGGGAGTCTCAGAATACCATGGCAGTCAGGCCCCCACAGCTCCTGGTTTCTCAAGCAGGAGTCCACCCTCCAACCCTCAGCACCACTAAGGACAGGACTGTGGCTTCTGTTCCAGCAAGCCCCTACATGGAGCCCTAGGGGGCCCTGAAAGGTTTTGGGTCTGAGGCTGGAGCTAAGCGGGGTCTCTGGACCCCGCTTACAAGGGCAAGCACCCCCAACTCCACAGAGCCTCCCTGTCCTTTTACCCCTGTTTAGGCTACCTCATCCATGTTTTAACTATACGTTCCCCCCAAGATTTTACCCCCCCCCCTTGTTTGCACCATCTGGGGATACCCACCCACCTCTCCAGACCCCTCCCCAGGTTCAGCTTCCAGGATGAGAGGAGACTGAAGGCCGTCGTGGCTCGGGGATTAGGCACCTGAGAAGCCATCAATACAGCTGGCCCAACAGGGGAGCAGACCTGTCTCTCCTCCTGACAGCTTAACAGGTTAGGGTGTAAGAATTCAGGGATGCTGGGTGCAGGAGGGCTCTGGATAGACACTCACCTACGTGTGTGTGTGTGTGAGTGTGTGTGTGTGAGTGTGTGTGTGAGTGTGCGTGTGTGTATGTGTGAGTGTGTGTGTATGTGTGTGTATGTGTGTGTATGTGTGTGTGTGTGAGTGTGTGTGAGTGTGTGTGTGAGTGTGTGTGTGTGAGTTTGTGTGTGAGTGTGAGTGTGTGAGTGTGTGTGTGTGTGTGTGTGTGCCTGCCTCCTGCCAACCACTGACCATTCTGTTCCACCATCCCCAGCCCCAAAGTGCTAATTAGCATTAATTACAGTTCCCTCCCTGGGGGTGGGGAAGGCCTGGCTTCCAGCCCCTCCCTGAGGAGGGGGTATCCAGTCATCTCGTCTAATCTCTGGCCACACCGTGAGCAGAGCCCAATCCTTTCCATGAAAGAATAAAAAGCGTGACGGACAATAGGGAAGACCCGAGTGGGTCGAGAAGACCAGCCGTCCTCAGTTGCTCTAATGAGTGATCAGAAGTGTGGAGAAGGGAGTCTCCGAGGGAGGTCCGGGGGGTCTGGGAAGGGCACACAGCCAGTCTCCCTAAACCTGCTTTCCCTCCGGGCCCCAGGCAACAGCAGCCCCCAGCCAGGGAGTGTCCCAGACCCCAGCACTGAGGCGGAACCGTGTGTGCCCAGAACCAGGCCACGGAGGCGCAAATACACGGAGCCACCATGGACACCAGCCCCTCAGAGCTGTGTCCAGCCCCCACCCCCATCCACCCGGCTGGGCTACAAGTTCAGGCCTGACTTGGTTCTGCCCCTACCTGGAGAGCTCGGGACACAGGCCCTGAGAAGCCCGGGCCGGGGCCTGGTTCCCCCTGGCTCTTTAAGAATCTAAGCCCTCAATCTGGGCCCCTATTGGGGGTGGGGGTAGAGCAGGGGCTTCAGTGACACTGCCCCGGGGCCTGTTGGGCTAGAAAACAGATCCACACCGGCGCTCCGGCCTCCCTTCCCAAGAAGGAATAAAGACGTGACGGACAATGGAGAGGACCCGAGTGGGAAGGGAAGACCGGGCGCCCGCAATCGCCTTAACAAGTTCTCCGGAGAAGTGCGGAGAAGGCCCCAAACCAAGCCGCGTCCCGAGCGCGGCTCCTGGAGCTCGGACCTGGGACTCTGAAGCCCTCGGCCCCGACGCGGGCCCCAGAACTGGAGGGGGACAGGCGTCCCCTTGGGTGCGCACACGCACGCTCCGGGCTCGCAGTGTGGCTTCCCGACGCCCGGCCGGGTCCCAGCGCAGCGGCGAGCAGCGCTCGCACCGACGCGCCCTGGCCAAGGCCTGCGTGGAGCCGGGGCCCGCCGGCTCGCGGAGTCCAAAGGGCGCCCCGGATACGAGTCCCGGCGGCAGGCCCTCCAAGCCCGCCGCCCCGGGCTCACACCCCGGCGCACGGCGGGGCCAGGCCCGGGCACCCGGGACACTCGGGCTTCCCAGCCTCCGGGTCGCGGGGGGGAGGTGGTGGGGTGGGCGGGGCTTCCCGGAGAGCGTCTCCCCCCTTCCCTCCAAACTTCCCGGCACCCAGGTCCTGGGCTCGGGCGCAGGCTGGACAATGGCTCAGAGCCCCCAGAGTGTCCCGGGTCCCCGCCATCCAGAAGCCACCCGGGCAGTCACCTCTGCGCGCCGGGCCTCCGAGTTGCGTCCCCTGGGCTTACCTGCTCCGAGCTCCGGGGGGCGCTCCGCCGGGCCGCTCCGCCGGGCCCGAGGGAGTAGCGAGGGGGGCCGAGAAGGGGGGTCGTGGGCAGGGGGATGGCCGGAATGCACGGAATGAGCCGGGCCGGAGCGGGAGGTGCTGGGCGCGGAGGAGGGAGAGAGCGGGACGGAAAGTTTGTGTTGAGGAGCCGGGCGGGGGGGTGGGGGCTGCGGGCTGGAGGGGCGGGGCCTGTGGGAGGGGCTAGGTGTGGGCGTGTCCGTCTGTGGGCGGTGATCGTTGGGGGCGTGGTCTAGGGCGGGCCCCGGCCGGCGCTCTCTCCGACCACCCAGCCCCCAGAAGGCCCATCGGTGCGGATTCACCCTCCCGCGCACCCCAGTTCCCGCTCGCCATCTCAGAGTCGCCACCTCCCCTACGCTACCTCCTTCGGGGACCCCGCTGAAGCTTGGGGTTCAGACCTGGGGCGGAGCCAAGAGTGGAGCTCTGCCCCCTGGGCCGGCCTCCCGGAGGTGTCGGGGGTCCCGGGGAGCCGCGTCCCGGGACGGAGCACGCACCGGGTCCCGGGACTCCCCACCCTTCCACTCGGGACCGCCGCAGCCGAGGCCTCCGCCGCGCCCCTCCCACTGAGAGCCCGCCCCCCACACTCCCGGGCCCCAGACCCGGCTCCGCCCTGCCGGGACCCGGTTTGTCTGGTTCTCCCCGAGTGGCCTGTTTCTCGTATTTCTCCCTTTCTCCCTCTTCCTGGACCTCTGGGGCCCCTCCCTCTCCGCCCTGCTGCGGGACCCTGAGCTCCCGCCGAGGTTCGATGGGACCCGCGACGTCAGGAGACGGGGACAAGGGAGCTCAGAGCACGCATCCAGGAATTGCAGCAGCGTTCAGTTCGGGAACTGACTTTATTGGGGGTGTGGGTCCCTGACCTGTTTCTCCGTGCCCCCCCCGCCCCAGCGAGAGCCCAGGGGGGCCTCGAGTGTCTGACTCGGACTCCGGGGCAGGAAGGACTAGGGAGGGGGGGCGAGCGAGGCAGGCATTGCTGTGCGACCAGATGAGCAGTATCTCCATCCCAGCCCGCCAGAGCTGCTCCGCCTGGCCGCTGCCAGGCTGGGGGGTGCGCGGGGTCCCGGAGAGGCAGAGGGGTGGGTGAGCCCTTCTGTGAGGTCTTGCGGGAGGGACCCTGCCACCTCCAGCTGAGTGCTTTCCCAGCGCTGAGGGGTTGTGGGGGTCACTCGCAGGCCAGCTTCCCGTCGAAGCTGGAGAGGGCGATGGCGAAGGCTTGCAGGGCGCACAGCGGGTACCGGTAGTCCAGAGTAAAGGCGTCCTCAGCCACTCGGCCGAACTGCAGCACTATATAGTCGGCTGTGAACAGACAGTGGGGTGACCTCAGGGCCCATCTCGGCAGGCAACCCCTTAAGACGGAGCGGCAGGGGGGAGTCTTTCTCCTTGATTTGGAGTCACAGCCCCCAAGCAGCCTCGGGCCACCTTCCCTTTTCTGTGTCGCTCAACAGAGCCCCGCCTGTATAGGGTCTGTCATACCAAGTCCGCAGGTCAGGAGCCCAACCTTATCAGCTGCTGCCCAGGGCTACAGCAAACCTGCAATCTAGCAGCACGGGACCCTGACAAACCAGAACCCCTCCCTCTCCTCTTTCTGTTGTCTTTTGGCCTCATTCCTCTGTCCGACCCCCAGTCCATAAGGCCCACATCTGACGCGGGTTCAGGTCCTTCTGTAACCAGGAGACTCGGGCCTCTCCTAACCTGAGAGCTACCTGTTCCAATCACGCTCAATCAACTATCTCTTCCCCTCCCTTCCCTCCCTCTCTCCCTTCTCTCTCTTTGTGTAGCCAAGGCTGGCCTTGAACTCCTAATCCTCCTGCTATCTCCCTCCCAAATGCCCTGGCTGCCCTGAATGTGTGTGTGAGGACCAGGCTGGTCACCCCGGATAACAGGCAGGACCACCGAACAGGCTTCTCAGCCTGGACCTCAGTACCCCTCTCCCAGCATGCTTCCGTATAGGAAACTGCTTTCAGACAAACCCCTCCACACGCCTTTAGTCCCAGCACTCTGGAGGCAGAGGCAGGCAGATCTCTGTGAGTTCGGGACCATTGTGGTCTACAAGAGTTAGTTCCAGGACAGCCTCCAAAGCCACAGAGAAACCCTGTTTCAAAACCCCCCCCCAAAAAAAAATCACCATACAAACCCCTCCACCCTGGTCAGGCTCCCACAGTAACTGGCCTGGCAAGCAGTGGGAGCAGCTCTAGGACAGAATGGGGGTGGGGGATTGCATGGTCCTGGCCAAACCCTCTAGTCCTGGGGGCCTTTGTGTAGTACTCTTGCCCAAGCTTGCAACAGGGACATTTGTGCTCTGGAGACCTCCTTTCCCTAAGTCCCCAGGGGCAGTCTGTGAGAAGACTGGTGGCCTGGAGAGATGGCTCAGCAGTTAAGAGCACTCATGGCTCTTGCAGGGGACCCAGCACCCGTACAACGGCCTGGGGTTCTAGTTCCAGGGGATCTGACACCCTCCGGTCTCTGTGGCCACCCCCACACACAAGGTGCACATCATTTATGCAGGGGCACACACATAAACATAGTAAATCTTTAGCTGCGAGATGGTGGCACACGACCAGCAGTCAGGAGACAGAGGCAGGCAGATCTCTGAAAGTTCCAGGCCAGTTGGTCTATAAAGATTTCCAGGACATGTCAACAGAGAAACCCTGTCTCAAAAAACCATCCCTCCACCACCAAAGAAGACACTCCTCTATTTTAGCAGGTGGTGGCACACGCCTCTAATCCCAACACTGGAGAAGCAGAAGCAGGGGGATGTCTGTGAGTTTGAGGCCAGCCTGGTCCTCATAGATAGTTTTAGGGCAGCCAGGGCTATATAGTGAGACGTTGTCTTAAGACAATTATCTTGAAAACAGTAAGTTTTAACTCTCTCGTCTCCTCTGTGTGGCATTGGGCCCCGCCACCCACTCCACGTAAAGAAAGGGCTTAGATTCTGGGTGTTTTCCGGCTTCCAGCTGCTAACCCCTCCCCCTCATCATGACACCATTGGGAATGTTCCTGCATCTACCCAAGGGTCCTGGTCAATAAATTGTACTAGTGAACCCCAAGACTTCTGCTGGGACTATCTGAGCCTCCTCCCAGCCCAGAGTCAAGAGGGAGAGGGAGAGGGGGCACCTCAAATACTCACGGTCGTCAGCGTGCACAATCTGAAAGTTCTTGACCGAGGCCTGGGTGACCCGGCCCTGGAAGTTGAGGGTGTAGGAGCCACTGTCTTCGTTCCAGATGGGTGGTTTGTTGTGTAGTTCGATGAGGCTCTCCAGAGTCTTGTTCTGCCAGCGCACCAGCAGCCCGTCGCTGGACTGGGGTACCCAAGGGGTGGTAACAGAGAGGATGGTTAGAGGTGGCTAGGCTTGCTCGGGGGGGGGGGGGGGCAGGAAGCTCGCGCAGCAGCTGTTCAGCCTGGGCTGCCATGTCCACACTGGATATGAGCAGAGGCAGGGAGAACAGTGTGTCTTGTTGGAGGGGAGGGGGCGTTCTGGCGAGCCTTGCTGGGGGTGGTGCTCTGGCAGGGAGTGGAAAGGCACAGCTGGTGCCCAGGAGGAGTTGGGCGCCACTCTTCATGTTCTCGTGTCCCACTGAACCCGGAGTTCATTGGCCGAGCTGGGCTGGGTGATCAATGCTCTGCACTCGGCTCTCATGCTTGTACAGCAGGTGCTCTATTGACAGAGATATCTTCAAGCCATCCTTTATCGTCATCATCGTGTGCATGCGTGTGTGTATGCATGTGTGTGTACACGCGTGTGTGCATGTGTATGTGTGTGTGCACGTGTGTGTGAGTGCGTGTGTGCTGTCAGGGTTCCATACAGCCAGGCTGGCCTCAGCTCCCTGTGTAGCTAAGGATATCCTGCCTCCTGAGTGCCGGGATTATAGGCATGAACCTCAATGCCTGGTCTTTGTGGCACTGGGGATGGGTGCCTGACAGGTAGCCCACCCTAAGCCCACTTCTGGGTCACATTTGGACCTTGGCTCTTACTGACTGGACTCAGAAGAAGCAAGGCCCAGCTTCCTGGCCAGCCGGACCTCCCAGCTTGGGAGAATGAACAGGCGGGTGACAGTGGTATTACTTTTCATTGTAAATAAGTGACATCAGTCACCCAGAAGCATGGGACATGCCAGTCATCGGTCTCTGAAATCCTGGGCTCATCCAGCCTGCAAGAGTGACAGAGCTGAGGATAGTGTTTCCTCTTATTCCACACTGCACACACACCAACTTTGCCTCGTTAAGGTGTCATGCCTTGGCATAGAACCCTGCTGTGGCTTCCCAGTTCTCTCAGAACGGAAGCCAGTTGAACAGGCACCCTCTGCCCCTCAGAATCACCCCTGACCACAAGCCGTTTATACATGAGGGTCACCTTACTGACCCACAGCCGGTCCGCTACCCCAGGCCCTTTGCACAGGCTGTCCTTCTCCTAAACCTAGATGCCAGCTGCAGAAGACGGCTCACCCTAGTCACCGAGGGGACAGCTTACCCTGTGTCACTGCAGCCTGTGTGACGGGCGTGTGCCTCGGCTGCCCCCCTCTGATCCTCATGGCTTCCCGTAGCCCTTGCCGCCTCCCCCCTTTCCTCATTTGTCACAATCCCTGTCTGCTGTCTATCTTCTTCATGGGAATCACAGCTTCATGGGGATCGCATTGCTTCACGGTGACTGACACCTTTCACCCAGTGCTCTGGAGGCAGAGACAGGCAGATCTACACAGTGAGATCCTGCCTCAGAAACAACAACCCCCCACCCCCCCAAAAAAACCCAAACTCCAGTCCTCTGAAAGGGTAGTATGTGCTCCTAACTGCTGAGTCGTCTCTCCAGCGCTGTTTATTTCTGTGAGACGGCATTTCAAGTAGCTCAGGCTGGCCTAGAACCCTCCATGTGTAGCTAGAGATGACCCTCAATCACTGATCCACCTGCCTTCACCTGCCAAGTTCTGGGACCACAGGAGTGTGCCACCATGCTTGGCATGAATTCAGCAACAGAGAACCTGAGTTCGTTCTACAAGCGGCCAGAAGGAAGCTGTGACAAGAGGCCCCACTTGTGCAAGCTGAGTTCCTGGCCCTGATCAGCCCGAGTGGGTCAGTACAGAGCAAGGCCCTCGGGGACAGGGGCTAAGAAGGTAGAGGCTCACATTTCGGGGCCGGATAGGGACCCTCTCGTTGTCTGAGTTCATTCCAGGGATGATGACAGTCATGCGACGGGGTCCTCGGAACCCCAAGACATTGGTTTCCTGAAAGCAAGAGACGGACGTCAGGCCGCATCCTACCTGAGGAGAGCCCGGCATGGGGGGGGGGGGCAGCGGCTTCTCACATAGACCACAGCTGCCAGTTCCTGGCGCAGGCTCCCCAGGTCCACGCCTCCGCCGCCGCGCTGTGGGTTCTGCCCGTTGTCAAAGACTGTGAAGCGGTTGCCCAGGAGATTGGACCTGAGGGCGGGAGAAGGATTGGGCCAAGGCGAGAGGGTACCCATCACCTCTCACTCTGAATCCCTCCCCCAAACCCCCCAGTTCAAGAGCAAGGGGCAGCGTTTGCCTTGGGAGTAGGCCGGCCATGTGCCCTGATCCAGGCTTTCCCTTGAAGGGAGAGTTTTTTAAGATTATTGCCATCACTGTTATTGTGAAACAGTCAGGCTGTGGGGCTCAGTGGAGGAGCACTGCTTCGCATGCCTGAGGCCTTGGTTCAATCCCCAGCAGCAAGAAAAACAGAGCCAGGTGTGTGACTGCTGCGTTTTGGGAGGCCGAAGGCTGGGAATCCAAGGACACCCATCTGCCACCACACAGTGAGGTCTAAACTAGCCTGGCTACGTGAGACCCTGCCTCAAAAAAAAAAAAATCTGGTTAAGGCTGGCCAGATGGCTCAGTGCTACTCTGTAGCTAGCACAAGGCCGAGGAAACCTAGTTTGATCCCTGGAAAGATAGAGAGCTGACCCCACCCCCACAGAGTTGCCCTCCGACCTCCACACAAACACACCACATGGGAGTGCCTGCAAACACCACACTCAGACTAACAAAATTAAAAAAGAATAAAACAAATCCTTCAAGCCGGGCCATGGTGGCGCACACCTTTAATCCCAGCATTCGGGAGGCAGAGGCAGGTGGATCTCTGTGAGTTGGAGGCCAGCCTGGCCTACAGTTGGGTTGGGTTCCAGGACTGCCAGGACTGTTACACACAGAGAAACCCTGTCTCAAAAAAAAAAAAAAAGCTAAAACTAAAATTAAATAAAAAAGTCCGTCAAGTTTTGGCTCCATCTGTGTGGCCCTAGGAAGTAGCAAAGTCTCAGCTGTCCCACTTGAGTTGATTTTTGTGTCAGCTGACTTACTGAATGTGCACCCTGTGGCCTTGTATACACCGTGACTGTGCACACAGCGGAGGCCAGGGGACAATGTTCAGGAGTCAGCCCTCTCCTTCTATCGCACGGGTCCCCGGGGATTGAGCTCAGGCAGGGACCCCTACCCCCTGAGACATCTCGCTGGCCCTCAGGACACAGCTAGAATCCCTCCTCTGGTTTGGTTGATAAGAGGATGAGATATCTGGTTTATATTTGGAATGTCCTTAGAAGTCTGCCTGAGGCACAGGCAGACTCCCTTTACTTAAATGCACTAATAAAACGAACAAGCCCTTTCTGACTGGTGGTAGCCGCGCCACCGCCGTACGGGAAGCCTGCCTGTCACACTGAGTCTCCTGTCGCTTGTTCGTTCGCTGAGTAACAGTCTCGTGAAGTGGACCAGGCCGGCCTCAAACTAACTGTGATCCTCCTGCCTCTGCCTCCTGGTGCTGGTTTCACAGACGTGTTCCGAGACACCTGGTTTATGTGGGACTAGGACCAAATCTGATTAAGCAAATATTCTACCAATTCAGCTATAACCCCCCCCTCTCTCTCTCTTTCTCTCTCTCTCTCTCCTCTCTCCTCTCTCTCTCCCTCCTCCTTTTTGGGGGGTGGGGAAAGGAGTTAATATAGCCCAGGGACTGACTCCAAATTCCTTAAACAGCTAAGGATGACCTTGAACTCTTGATACTTCTTTCTCTACTGACCGTGATCTGGGATTACAGGCGTGTATCCCACACCAGTAGTATACCTCCTTAGAGAAGACGACGCTGGAGCAGGTGGCACTCAGTGACAAGGGTCAGAGGCCTGGCTGACCCTGCCCTCATGGAGCTAGAGTCCACCTCTGTGAGATCTTTGGTCAGGCCTGCATGGTCCCTAGCCCTTGCGGGAGATGTTGCTATGCCCACAAATCCATCTAGATCAGGTAGGTGCCCAGAGACCCATGTGTGTCAGAGTGTGAGACACCCTTGGCTGAGGGGCGTCCCTGGAGCACCTCACGTGGTGGCACCCTGCCAGCCACAGTGGGACAGCGGTGACAGCCAGTGACGCAGTGGCAGCCGCACCTCAGCTTTCCAACGAAATCCTCCCCTCCCCTGGACAAGTTGGTGGGGTCTCTGGAGATGAGGTAGTTGGCTGTCTTGCTGCGCTTGCGTTTCCTGCCGGCCAAGAGGAACACCTTCGGAGAAGGGGACAGAGAGGTGACAGGGTGAGGCCGACAGAGCTGGGGACCTGGGAGGTCCTAGACATTGCCCCCAACCCTAGACACCCCCAGCCCTAGACCTAGATGCTGGCCCCCAGCCCTAGACACCCCAGGCCTAGACACCCCCAGCCCTAGACACCCCAGGCCTAGACACCCCCAGCCCTAGACACCCCCAGCCCCTCCTCAGGACCTTCTTCTCCGCGTCCAGGTGCAGGAAGTACGATGGGTACATGCCGCGGTCCATGCCCTTCTTGTCCCGAGTCAGCCGGCAGCGCACGGCCTTGCCCTGGGGCGCTGGCTGTAGCACAAACTCTCGGGGTTCACCCACTTCCACAGGGGGAGACGGGGCCCTCTCCTCCTTCTGTGTAGGCAGATGGTGGTCACCCAGGGCAACCCACTCCACAGGTCCCCTTCCACACCTCAGGCAGGACAAGCCACCACTCACCACCTTCTGGAAGGAGAAAAGAGATAAGTTTAGCATCCGGACCTGGGTGCAGAGGCACCTCCATCCTCCACAGCCCCAGCAGCCCAACCACGTGATAGAAGGTTCTGGAATTCTGTGATTTATTGTAACTATTCAGCTTGAGCCCAGACAGTCGCTGCTTGAGTTCAGGCTCCACCACTAAGGGTCTGGTAGCTGAATACAACTGTCTCTCTTGCTTTTTATTTTGTGTGCATTGGTGTTTTGCCTGCATGCACGTCTGTGTGACAGTGTCAGATCACTTGGAACTGGAGTTGGCAGAAGTTGTGATCCACCATGTGGGTGCTGGGAATCGAACCCTGGTCCTCTGGAAGAACAGCCAGGGCTCTTTGCTTCTAAGTCATCTCTCCAGCTCCATTTTTTTCTTTTTTCTTTTCTTTCTTTTTCTTTTGTTTTGTTTTTTGTTTTTTTGAGACAGGGTTTCTCTGCATTGTTTTGGAGGCTGTCCTGGAACTTGCTCTGTAGACCAGGCTGACCTCGAATTCACAGTGATCCACCTGTCTCTGCCTCCCGAGTGCTGGGATTAAAGGCGTGCACCACCAACGCCCGGCTCCAGCTCCATTTTCATTTTTTAAGATAGGGTCTCATATATCCCAGGATGGCCTTGAACTCACTGTGTTGTGGAGTCTGAGCTCGAACTCCTGATCCTCCTGCCCCCACCTCCCAAGTGCTGGGATAACTATGAGCTACCTCCCACAACTGGGATAACTATGAGCTACCTACCACAACTGGCCTGTGGTGGTGGTGGTGGTGTTTTGTTTGTACCATGTGTGAGTGTGTTGTCTGCATTGTCTGTCTCTGCACTACACTTTTGTGCCTGGTATCTTTAGAGGCCAGAAGAAGGTGCAGGATCCCCTGGAACTGGAGCTATAAATTGTTGTAAGCCATCATGTGGGTACTGGGAATTGAACCCGGGTCCTGTGTGAGAGCAGGAAATTCTTTAAACTGCTGAACCATCTCTTCAGCCCCTATTTTGTTTATTCGATACAGGGTTTCACTCTAAGGCCAAGACTCACTCTGTAGCCCAGGCTGGCCCGACTGCAATCCTCCTTAGCCTCCCAGTACTTGGAGTAGAGTTGTGCAACCCCATGCCTAGGTCTCCAAATAGTGACTCTGCATCCTCATGAACACACTGGGTAGCTGTCCCTTAGAAACTGGGGTCAAGCCAATGCTACAGGAGAGTCTATGTGGGGAGGAAGAGAGGCCTCCAACCGACAACCATGACTGAACCACTTCAGAAATGAACTGCCCATTCCTGGCCAGTCCCGTGTGACACCCTGAGCCCACATGGTTCTGCGAAGCTGTCCCTAGATTTATGACCCTTAGCAACGAGGCTGGAAGCTGGCTTCTTATCTGAAGACACTAAAACTTGGAGACCATTTGTTACACAGCAAGACACAGCTGACTCATGAACCTGTCAGCTTACTTCGCTCTTGGAGAATTTCCTCGTAACACTTTGGTTACAGGAGGAGGCAGGGTGAGACCCAGTGCCCTTTCTCCTGCTGCTCTGTGAGGGGAGCTGGGATTCCAGTCCCTCAGGGGAGCGACTGACCTATCAGGCTGGGGGCTTCAGCACCTGAGGTTTCACAGGCAGCACCCAGGAGCCTTCTGCTGGAGGCAGCCCTACCCTGTGTGTGGTAGAAGCACAGCCTGGGGCCCTCGGCCAAGGGGCAAATGACCATCTTGACTGTACGCCAGCCTGCTCCAGAAGAAACTTGGGAAACACGAGACTATGTCGGGAATGCGAGGTGAGAAAAGTTGACACTTACTTAAACATTTCTACACCTGTGAATTTCAAAGGCCTGCAGTGTGGAGGGCAGTTTCCACCTGGGATAAAATACCCTGGACATCAGAGTCAGTGGTGATCTTGGTTAATGCAAACCCATCGCTGAAGACCTGACTCTCCTACACAAACTATTAAACCCACGAAGCTTGGACCAGGGCTGGCTCTTGTACAGAGTGGGTTTTTGTGATCTTGGTTAATGCAAACCCATCGCTGAAGACCTGACTCTCCTACACAAACTATTAAACCCACGAAGCTTGGACCAGGGCTGACTCTTGTACAGAGTGGGTTTTTGTTGTGACTGTTGTTTTGTTTGTTGACTTTCGAGACTAGATTTCTTTGTGTAGCTTTGGAACCTGTCCTGGAACTCGTTCTGCAGACGAGACTGGCCTCGAACTCACAGAGATCCGCCTGCCTCTGCCTCCCCAGTGCTGGGATTAAAGGTATTCGCCACCACCCCCACTGTCCAGCTTTAGAGGAGTTTTAACACTCTCAACCAGGGCTGCTTGTCTTGGAACCAGTGTGTACAACACGTTGTCATTCAAAGTCTTGACGGTCAAATCAGAACAGACTCCAAGCTTCAGGGAAGACTCTGGAGCTGTTGGCAGCCAGGGAGTGGTTGGTTATTTTATTTAACCATTTATTTCTTCTTCATACGAGCTTTGCCTACGTGTGTGTCTGTGTACCTGGTGTGTGCCTTCAGAGGTCAGAAGAGGACATTAGATCCCCTGCAGCTGGGGTTAGAGTTGAGGCGCCATGTGGGTCCTGGGGATCAAACCTGGTCCCTCTGCGAGAGCACCCAATGCTCTCAACTGCTGAGCCATCTCTCCAGCCCAGTTTTAGTTTTGGAGACAGGGTCTCATGTAGGCCAGGCTGACCTCATCCTCATCGTGTAGCTGAGGTCAGCTCGGAACACCTGATCCTGCTGCCTCCGCCTCCCATGTGCTGGGGTCGTGTGCAGGGGGGGGGGGGGGCGGCACTAGGGCTGTTTGCTGGCTGGGAGGACAGAGGTCCCGAGGGGTGAACTCAGAGCAGCAGAATGGAAACATTTAACAACTGGTCCCGCTGGCCAACTCCCAGCTGCTCAGTGTCCCCACAGGTGTGTAAGATCTGCCTCCCAGAAGCCAGACAAAGACTCACACCTGTAATCCCAGTTCCACTGGGGATAGAAAGATCTGGAGTTCCAGGCTAGCCTGGGCTACCTCGCAAGACCTTATCACATTCCATTCCCATCCCCCCCCCCACTCCATCTCCCAAAACTGCCCTGTGCCCTCCCCTGTTTTAACAGGTGTCTCCCCACTGGGGACGGTCTGATAGTTGTGCTGCGGAGGGAGGCCCGTGGGTGGCCTGAGCCATGCCCCTACCGTCCCCAGGCGCCCAGTGTCCCCGGGCCTCATGCCCAGACAGGAATGGGGAGCCCAGCCCTCCCCCTCAGGGCCCCCCCCCACACCTTTCTGCCTTTGCCTTTCGCCTTGCCCTTCTGGTTGCTGTTCCTCGTCGCTGCCGATCCCTCCTCTGCCCCCTCCTCCTCCTCGTCCTCCTTCTTCTTGTCCTCCGAGCCTTTGGGAGGCGCTGAGAACGGAGCAGGGGAAGCTGTAGACCCCTCACCCTGGCTGGCCAGGTGTTCCCAGTACCATGTTCCCCTTTAATCCTCTCCACAGCCATACGAAGGCTCTGGCCTCAGAAAGGCCACCTGCTTGGGGCCACACGGCTGGGCTGTCGGAGCAGGAGTGTCAAGATGCCCCCCCACGGTCAGCGCTCTCCCTCACGCCGCATACACACTGTCCCAGGTCCCGATGCCCTCCCGCCACCCACCTTTCATCTTCCCACCCTTCTCGGCCGGGCCGCCTTCCCCAACCAGGAACATGGCTGCTGGGACTTTCTTCCTCAGGGCTGCTGGGCTCCTGGAGGGGTCCTGGTCGGTCTCCCCAGCCCCTGCAGGGAGGATGCAGGAAGGGGTCACCGCCTCAACACGCCCGCGCCTCCTGTCCTCTGTCAGTCCCTCCTGGCTCCTTTCCTTACCTTTCTTCTTCGCCCTCTTCAGCTTGGTCCCCTCCCCTGCCTCCTTCTTCTTGGGGTGGAGCGGTTTCCGGGGGGCTTCAGGGCTTCCGAGGTCCCCTGGGAGTAGGAGGTTCGGGGGGGACTGAGACGGAAGGAAACCCCTTCTAAGCCCCCTCATCCAGTCCTCCAGTCCCTGGGTGCTGAAAGTCGGGCAGGGGACGCTGTGGCCTGTGGGTCTGGTGTTATTTTCTTCTGAGTGTAAGAACCATCGCTAGGGGCCAGCTTAGGAGTGAGCGAGTGGGGGACCGGATGCTGGGTCATCTCTTCTCCAGCCTCTCCTTCAGGGACCCTCCCCAGCCCCAGCCTCTGCCTCTGCCTCTCCACAGAGCCCAGGTCTCAGCCTCCCACACGTTCCTGACCAGACACTCTGGACCCGGAGCCTGTGTCTTTAGCCACAGATTTCTTTTTATTTTCATCCACTTAATAAAAATTACAACACTAGCTGGGTGGTGTTAGTGGCTTACACCTTTAATCCCAGCACCAGGAAGGCAGAGGCAGACGGACAGATCTCTGAGTTCGAGACCAGCCTTGGCTACAGAGCGAGTTCCAGGACAGCCTGGACTGCACAGAGAAACCCTGTCTCGAAAACCAGAAAAAACAGATTGTTAACCCACATGGAGGCAAAAAGCCCACAAAGAAAACAGAATTCTGCTGCCGGGGCACCTTCTGATCTTCTTAGGAACCTTAGGGGAGGCACAGCCTTTGCACGAGGTGCTGGGGAACTTTGGGGACTCACCTGCCCCCCCCGGGACTCTTTCTGCCTGCCCATGGGTTCCTGGGTGCTCCCTGCACCTACCCCGCGGGGCTAGGGCCTTGGCTTTCTTCTCTCTCTCCTTGGGTGCTTTCCTGGGGGGCAGAGAGCTTTTCTCTTCTTTTCCCTCCTGGCCCTCCTCCTCCTCCTCCTCATCATCCGAATCCTCAGAATCTTCCTCTATGGAAAGAATACTCTCGTAACACAGGCTCCAGAGGTCCAGTCCCTGCAGCGAGCTGCCGGCTTCAAGCACCTTTGTGCAGTGAGCTGGCTCCCTGTCACCTCCCCCCTGACCTTCTTTCCCACCGCTGTCCCCATCTGGGGTATTCCAGCTACTAGCTGTAGCTCAAGGCAAAAGCTTGGACCTCTGATGCCTCAGTTTCCCCATATGTGTAACAGGGAAAGAGCAGGGAAACCCAACGCTGGGCTGCGTGCCCAGGCGGTGATGCCTGCTTCCCCGGGCGGCTCACAGGATCCCTCTGATCCCTCTGCCTCAACTCACCGCCTCGCATATCTGGGGCGCGGGCAACCAGGAAGGTTTCCCGGGGATCCCGCTTCTTGGCTTCGGGGTCCCGAAGGAACTTGGCGTAGACTGTGGGCGCAGCGTGCTCCTCGGTGGGGTCTGCCGGTGGCTCCTCGAGCTTCTTGCGCCCAGCTGGGCCAGATGTCAGGCTGAGCAGGGTCCTGGCCCCCGGGGCGGGGGTCCCCACTTCAGCCTCCCCGTCCCACACCATCCCGCACACCCCTAGGACTCACCTCCAGCTCTTCGGGGCTTGGATCCAGGAGACTCGGGGGTCTCAGACTTCTTCTTCCTCAACTTCTGTCCCTGGGTGGGTCGCTATGGAACAGGGGTCACGAGGAGAGAAGGGGACTCTGGGCTCCCATCCCCCTCTAATCCCTTGGAGCCGCCAGAAATAGCCTCGGATTATCCCAAGGAGTGGGGCAGCCCCTTCTCAGTGTGACTGACCCGTTCACGCATGACAGTCACTTCCAAGATCCAAAGCCCCCAACTCCTCCTGAGTACCCCACGTCTTAAACGCCCTTTCTTGTCCTAGGCTCTCCTGGTAAAGAATTGCAGATGGTGGCCTAGAGGACAGGTCCCCTACAGCCCCCTTCCTGTGCGCACCGAAAGGCACCTTCGTGTCTTTTTCCAGCCCCCAAACCTGGTGACTCACCTGCTTGGGGCGCAGCTGGGGCTCCGGGCTCAGCCAGTCCTCTTCATGGCCACTGGGGGGTACAAAGGAACCAGGCTGTCCCCTTCTGGCGTTTTTACCCCCCCCCCCGCACACACACACACCACTGTGACCCAGCCACTGAGGCCTGGCTTCAGATGGGACCGGGGATGCGGGGGCTCCCACCTGTCTGAGGCCCACACTTCCCGCAGCGTCTCCTCCTGGAGCGGCATGGTACTCCTGTGTGCCTGTCCCCGTCACTGGCCACCAGCCCCTCCTGTCCTGCGCCTGGCAGCTCACAGCCCGTCCTCCTCCCTCGCTAATCTCAGCTCAGCTTCTCCCCACCTCTGAGGACACTGCAGCCTGCGGACTTAGCCACCCAGGGGAGGTCTGGATCCCCAGCCCTCCTCAGCCCTGCAGCCTGAAGGACAGGGTGCCACCCTCCACCCAAGGCAGGCACTCCCCTGTGTAACCTGTCAGTGGAGGCAGGTGCGGGAGAAGAAAAGGCTAGACCGGGCTCTCCAGGGTCTCCCTGTGTAGCCTGGGTCTCCCTGTGCAGGCTGACCCGGAAGCCAAGATTCTCCAGTCTCCTGAGTGCTGGGATTTCCAGCATGTGACACTATACTCAGCCTGAGATATGCTTATTTTTAAAATTCTGCGTTTATTTATCGCGTGCGTGAGTGGTGCACATGCCATGGTTGGTGTGTACAGAGGTCTGAGGGACAATCAGTTACTCTGTGGGTATTAGCAAGAGCCCTGTCTGAGTTATTTTGACAGCTTTTTGTTTGTTTTGTTTTGTTTTTCGAAACAGGATCTCTCTGTATAACCTTGGAGCTTGGCCTGGAACTTGCTCTGTAGACCAGGCTGGCCTCCGCCTCAAAGAGACCCACCTGCCTCTGCCTCTGCCTCCCGAGTGCTGGGGTTAAAGGCGTGCCCCACCGCCCGGGGTTTAACAGACAATTTTGGAAATTTTAAATGATAAGTAATTGCTGGGCTTGGGAGCATATGCCTGTAATTTCAATACTTGGAAGGCTGAGCTAGGAGGATCACAAATTTGAGACCACTCCTCCCATCTTAAAAAATAAGACAAAAAGCCTGGTATGGTGGTTCACACTTCTAATTCCAGCACTCAGGAAGCAAAGGCCTGGCTGGGTGTTGCAAATCAGCCAGGGCTGCTTAGAAAACCCCGCCTCCAAATGAGGCAGCTGGAGACAAGGCTCAGTGCCCAAGAGGACTTGGTGCTGCTGTGGAGGCCTGAGTTCCATTCCCAGCACCCTTGCGGGCAGCTCACAAGCACCTGTAACCCAGCTCCAGGGGATCTGGTATCGCTGGCATCTTTGGCACCTGTATTCATGTTCACACGCACGCTCGCGCATAAAGACACACACACACACACACACAATTTTCTTTTTTCTTTTTCTTTTTCTTTTTTTTTTTGGTGGTGGGTTTTCTGAGACAGGGTTTCTCTGTGTAGCTTTGAGATTGTCCTGGAACTCACTCTGTAGACCAGGCTGGCGTCGAACTCACAGAGATCCATCTGCCTCTGCCTCCCGAGTGCTGGGATTAAAGGCGTGCGCCACCAATGCCCTGCTACATACACAATTTTACAAAAGAAAAAAATGTTTTAATGTTTCAGATTTTTTTGTTTTTTGTTTTTATGTTTCAGATTTTTAAAGCTTTTTTTTGTATTTATTTATTATGTATATGTTTACCTGAATGTATGTTAGAGCCCACAGAGGCCAGAAGAGGGTGTCAGATCCCTAGGGGCTGGAGTTACAGATGATCTGAGTTACCATGTAGGTGCTGGTAATTGAACCTAGGTCCTCTGCAAGAGCAGCCAGTATTCTTAACTGCTGAGCCGTCTCTCCAGCCCCTCAAAAAGCCTAATAAATAAATAACAAAACAAAACAAAAAGTGGGTAAAAACGCTTGCTGCTGAGCTTGAAGACTTTTGCTCCATCTCCAGAATCCACATGGCGTGAGCAGTGACAACTCCAGCAAGCTGTCTTCCTGGCCTCCACACGTGCGAGCATGCACACGCACGCACGCACACACACACACACGCACACACATGCACGCACGCACACGCACGCACGCACATGCACACATGCATGCACACATGCACGCACACATGCATTCAAATTCCCTCCCTTTGACAGCAACCCTTTAATTCCCAGGGGCAACCCCAGCGTGACACCTGAGGGGTGGTGGCCTGAGGCATGGGAAGGGGACTCATGTCTGGGTCAGAGGTGACTTTAGGGTTTTGAGAGTCCAGCACAGGGGGGAGAAACAGGTCTGTACACAGATGAGTACCAGGCGCTTTGATCTGCCTGCCTCCTAGACTGTAGGCTGCAGGACAAGCAGGCCTGGGCTCTATAATTGCACATTGTTTTGAACTCAAAGGAACATTTCTCAACTGGATCCCTGGTCTTAGTCACCAGACTCAGTTCCACATGAATTTAGCTGCTTTCTGAAATTGAGTTCACTTTCAGAAGACAAAGATTGCCTAGTTCCCCAAGTTCCTCTTAGAGGCAAATTCTCAAGTCTAAGGCCACACAGCTTGCTCTCCGTCGATCAGACCACTAACAAAACACCTACTGTGTACCTGGTATTTATTTACAATGTCATCTTAGGAAGCAATATTTATGCATTTTGTGTGTGTGGATATTTCATCCTCATGAATGTTTGCGTCTGGTATGCCTGCCTTCTCAGAGGTGGACGGCAGACTTTAGATCACCCAGAACTGGAAGTTACAGATGGTTGTGAGCCGCCAAGCGGATGCTGGGAACTGAATCCCATCTTCTGCCAGAGAAGCTGAGTGCTCTTAACTGCTGAACCATCTCCAGCCCTGCTTCTGGTATTTTCTCGTTCATTTCAGTCCCTAGCTTTAAGGTCACTACGCACACGACCATCCTCCGTAACGTTGGAGAATTCTGACAATGGACAGCTCTGTGAGGCCCCGCTCCCGGAATCCTCTGTTCGACAGATCCTATAACCTTCGTGGCACGGATCTGGAAACTGAAACACGTCCCCAAACCCCTGGGACTCGACCTCAGGGATTGAGGAGGAAGCCTGCCCACTGGAGTTGTCCCTTCAGCCAGAAAAGTTCTGTCAGCCTGGTGACCGTGGGCAACTGTACTCCTTGTGGTGGCTTCTCCATCTATAAAATTCGTTTGCTCAGTCAGAAGATTATTTCCTTCTGGTGGGCTTTTCAGACCTCCAGGAGCAGCCTCGGGGAGCACTGCACAGATCGGTGTGCCGAGCAGGGACCCCAGAGTTGTCGCCTGCAGCTTTGCTCGGCAGAGGCGTGCGTCTCCTGGCGCTTGCTCCAGTAGCAGGGATAGCAGACGGGCAAAGGTTGTCTAAGTGACCCAGCGCACACAGGTCATTGTCTGTCCCCGGCCAGCAGGAAGGGATTAGGACCCAGACCAGGCTGTCTGAGCCCAGCCCCACTGTGACCCACAGCTGCCTCCGTAGCGGGGCTGAAGGGACTCCTGAGAGGCTGCAGAGAGGGACCTATGCCCTGCCTTTGCCCCGGTGGTGAGGGTCGTGAGGTCACAGGGTGTGACACAGCCTCTCACACACCTCTGGAAAGTTGATAGTGCGCTTGCCTGGAACATCCGCAAAGCCTGTCCTGGGGCACGCTCCCTCCAGCCTGGCTACGCCCCTTCCCCAGACAGCTCCACCAAATGCGGACCACTTGTGTTCAAAGAGCTGAGCCTCTGGGGGACATTTGCCATCTAAACCGCCTCAGTTTCTAAGTGAATTGAACGCTGTGACCTGGTTTTCTCTTCCTCTGGCTTGGCCACAGAGAACAGAGTCCAGAATTTTTAGGGTTTCCAGAGGGGGAACTCTGGCACCCCGTTAAGGTCCCCCTTGTCGGCGGTGGTGTGCGTCTGAAGTTTAGTACTCAGCAGGTGGAGGCCGGAGGACCAGAGTTTGGGGGTCTCCTTGGCTACTGAGACTTTGAGGCCAGCCTGGGCTACCTGGGACTTGTCTTTGAAGAATCAACCAAAACAAAGTTTGTGTCTTGGTGCCAAGCAAAGACAGGAACTCACTCCCCCTGGTGACCTTAGTCCCTGGTTTTGTTTAAAATGACTTGCGGTCTGTGATCTTAACTGGGCCAGGTAATTTACAAGATCTTGTTTGTTTTTACTTTTTTCTTGAAAACAATTTTAAGGTGACATATGGTATCTGTGTAACAAGCCAACACTGGCCCACGCCTTTAATCCCAGTCAGGAGGCAGAGGCAGGTGGATCTCTGAATTCCAGGCCAGCCTGGTCTACAGAGTGAGTTCCAGGAGAGCCCAGGTTATACCATAAGACCCTGTTTAACCCCCCTGTCCTCCTCACAAAAGAGCCACGGAACATCTTGGTCAAAGATCGCTTCTGGCCATTGCCGGGTGTGAGCCAGGCTGGGCTGGGTTATAAATGATGTGGTCTTCAGAAGAAATCCGAGATGAGATCCCCCCAAAAGATTCATTCTAGGGGTCTCGATTGGGTTCATTTTCTCTGCCAGTTAACAGATTAAAAGGCGCCGGGCGTTGGTGGCGCACGCCTTTAATCCCAGCACTCGGGAGGCAGAGGCAGGCGGATCACTGTGAGTTCGAGACCAGCCTGGTCTACCGAGCGAGTTCCAGGACAGCCTCCAAAGCCACAGGGAAACCCTGTCTCAAAAAACCAAAAAAAAAAAAAAAAAAAAACCAGATTAAAAGGCAGGAAAAAATATGAAGTGTGACAAGTAGCCAGAGAAATTTCATGCTCCGCAGACAGACTTAGCAGAGGAAGAAAGGCTGTTGGGGGGCAAGGAGACATGCACACACATGCAGCACACACATGCAGACATACACATGCAGACACCATGCAGCACACACATGCAGCACACCCGCAGCAGACACATGCAGACACCCATGCAGACACCATGCAGCACACATGCAGCACACCCGCAGCACACCCGCAGCACACCCGCAGCGCACATGCAGCGCACATGCAGCGCACATGCAGCGCACATGCAGCGCACACATCAATAACGCAGTAATGCAGCACACGCACAGCAATGCAGCACACACGCAGACACACGTAGCGTACACATGCAGCACACACGCAGCACACACATGCAGAGAATGAGACCCTCTGTAAAGCAGGGGGAGCAGAGCCAACAACTCCAGTCTCTTCTGAGGGCAGGACGGGGGGCACGTCTATATCTGTAGAGTTCTCCTCCCCTACTTTAGGGCT